TTTTTGTTATAACAAACTAGTGGAGTAATTTTACAAAAATAATCATGATGATGAAACATCGTGACATTCAACAAAATTACAAATTATAATTAACATGTTTTGTCTTTGTGATTATTTTTAAGTATTGTTTTAGTTGTAATATTGTTTCACTTATTCAACTTTCCATTTTGGCACAAACTAGAGCAAGTACTGGCTGTTTGAGTTTGTGTAAGTCACTCGAAGTAAATTAAAAACTAGGTACTATTTGCTCCATATGGCTAAAATGATACACTTTGCTCCCGCTACGTAAGGCTATATTGACATACTTTTAGAGCACGAGAAGTGAAAAACACTTTTTTTTTATTTGATTTTTTTATGCATGAGACAGATGTTATAATATTTAGTCAGTGCAGTTCTAAAGGAAAATATGTAATAAGGAATAATACTACAGTTTTCCTTCTACCTCACGATTTAAATTCAAAATCTTAAATTATAGGTGATGATAGACTTCCTATAGAAACAATGGTGTGAATTTTATTACTACACAATAACGATTTTTCTTCATTACTCTACTAAATCCTAGGAATGTTATGACCATGAAATAGTCTGTTGATGTGTATTTTCCTCGTGCCTGCTTTGTTGTCTCCTCTATATGTAAAGCACATTAAACATCAGGCACAGCCGGAGAATATAAACAATTCCAAGTACGTAGTATTCCCACGTGAGGGCCCTGACATGCATGCCTGCGACTATCGGTGTCAATACGGTAGTCCTCGTTCACCGACCACTGTGACCAGTCATAATGAATACGCTTTACAATATTTATATAAATAAATATATATAAATTTCCGTCGGTTTTTTTTCTTCGCAGATTGTCGTAGGTATATCTAATTTATTGGTAGGTCAATGAACATAACCAACAAATAATAACATTAACCAACACATTTATTTTTCATAAGTTCACAAAGACATTTATAATATAACAGTAAAATAAGCCTACAATTATGTTTTATTATTATATTACACTATATATATATATATATATACTACACTATACGTTTCCGGAACTGGCCACTTACGTAAACAATATTTAAAGAGTAATTACAACATTTGAAAATGGAACTCTTTGGCTGTAGAATACAGTTTGTTTCATCTGACTGTCATTTGTTTTTACATTATGGCGTCATTTTACAAATTGATTGTCTACATCACTATGGATTTAACTCGTGAAAATTTTCGTGGTATGATTTTCTACGACTTTAAGTGTAATTTCACAGCTCAGCGGAGCTTCGCTCGGCTTCGAACTGCTTTTGGCGATGAAGCACCACGCAAGACGACTATTTATAGCGTGACGAGTTTCGTGATGGTAGCCCGTGCACTGCTGTGAACAACAAAAACATCGATGCTGTGCGCCGTATGATCAAAACAGACAGGTATATGACATACCATGATTCATCTTTAGGTACAGGTATCAAATACTTCACAAACATTTGGATATGAAAAAGCTGTGTTCTCGGTGGATCTCATACAATTTGACTGAGGCTCAAAAAACAGATCACGTCACTTGGTGCAATGCCATACTTACCAGATTCGAAGGGGCGTGAAATTTGGTGTGGGACATAGTAACAGGTGACGAAACATGGATTTATAGTTACGATCCCAAACTGGACAAACTGGACACGTGGCTATTGTTGCTTTGGAGAATCGTTGTACCGTGAATAGTGATTGATACACGATCATTTGTTTACCGGAAGTTATTGACAAAATCCGTAAAAATAACCGTAAACGGCGTATCGTCTTGCACCACTATAATGCCAGTTCTCACACGACCAGACTGACAAATGAATTTTTGAAGGTGAACAACGTTCACCTTATGAGCCATCCCTTGTACCGTCCATACCTGGCGCCTTGTGATTTTTATTTATTTCCAAAAATTAAGAACCAATTACGCGGTCAACGATTTTCATCACCTGAAGAGGCTGTTGAAGAGTATGAATAATATGTTTCAGAGACTGTCACGTAGGAGTAGCATAAATGTTTTCAAAACTGGTTCATTCGTATGAAAAGTGCATTAACGCTAACGGAGAATATTTTGAGAAACAATAAATTCATTTCTGACCACTTATGGTATTTTTTTCTTATTCATTTCGGAAACTTATAGTGCGCCTCATGTATGTACCTTAAAATTATGTTATCTAGTTTGAGTTTCCAAAAACCGTAGTGAGTTATTTCCTGACTGCGAAAAGCATTACTCAACCTGATGTGGTAAGTAGAGTGAGCATAAGTTAAAAATAGACATTTTGAAATATGTTAAATAATTATTAAGTAACAAAATGATATAATATGCTTCTATATGTATAAATAAAAATGTTTACAAATTAGTCATTGTTAAAGTATAATTCGCGTAGTTAGTTCGTTTTTTATTGTCCAAGGTCCTATTGCCTACAGTTGCTATATGCAAAAAAGAAGTTTTTGAAGTCTAAAGTACGTAAGAATTATTTGAATTGGTAATATTTTCAAGTAACTATTAATACTGGTTTAATGTTTGTTATATCCCATTTAGAGTTTCGTGAGAGCGAATAACAATCGGTGAGTATAACCATGTATAACACTGTTGCGTTGCATAACCCGATGTGCAGCCAATGACCCACTTCGGTGATTGCTCATCTAATAACACAATTATGCTTAACTTTGGCTTAGAATTTTACGTACCAGATTTTTTAAATCTAAAGATATAAGCGATCCAAAGAGCAGGTTCCGTCTGTAACAAACGCACTCTTGTTACGTCATTGCCTCCTACTTACAGAGTATCAGCAAATGATATCACTGTGTCTACGCCTTTAAAACGAGAACATAATATATTATGATCGTTCTTTTTATAAAATTCATTATGGAGTATCACATTCGATATCGATCTAATTTGTCAATCGATGATGTTAAAAGGTATAGAGGTTGGACATGGAAGCTATTATCGCTGACTGGAGAGACGTGCGAACATGCAGTTTGCATCATGACTTAATCAGTGACCGAACAGAGCTCTAGCTACGAAGGACACGTATAACAATGGTTAACAACAAAAGTCCAACTCTGATGGATCTATTGGATCCCAGCGATTACGTCACATTAACGCAATAATTAGCTAATAGGCTGTGTATAATACAATGTGACAAGAGAAAACAAAAAACACACGTGATCATCCATTCATACATTTAACACTAATATTACAAAATACTTGTCACCAATAGGGTCGTCGTTTTAATTAACAGTGTACCTACTCTATAACGTTGAGTGTATGCGTTATTGTTATTATTATTATAATGAACACTTCAGCAAAACATAAGACAACCATTTTTTTTTAAGTTTTCGCTCGTTTACATATTATGTAGGCAACGGTTATAGCAGCCAGTTGATGAGACCTGATTGGTTAGATTGACCTTGACATTTTCTTTTCTCCTATTGATGATAGTATAGTGAAAACTAAAAAAATAATTGCCAAATGTAAATAGGGTCCGTCTCAACATTTACAGTGTTTTTTTACAGCAAAATGTTTAGTTTTAAGGAACTATGTAAATTTATGTTATCACATAAATAATCCGCTCATTGACAATAAAAATAATGATGACCAATACAAAACTTATTATAAATACAGTCTTATTCAATTTAACAATGTGTCATTTTAATAACACAATTATAAGGGTTTTAGATAATATGAACAAGGAATTAACAAGGATTAAAGTCATAACTGACATGTTTTTAAAAAATGACGAATTACAACTTATTAATATTTCTTTAACTTTAAACAAATAATAATATGTGAAACTAAGAAAAATCCAATACCTACATTCTTGTAATATAACTACGTGTCTATATTTTATCGGTATAGAACAAATAGTGTCCCTTCTTATCTGTCACATATGACACGATCGCAGATAAACATCGTAGCACACTGAAAACTCTTATCTATTAAATTAAACCAAACCGGCACACCTTATGGAAAGTAGGTCATTTTCTTTTGCTTATAAGTATTTTAGTTCAAAATACATTTTAGTCGTTGAGCATAAAGGTACAAAAAGTTACATATGTATTTATTTATTTATATGTATTTACATTTAAGAGCCTATGCACACGGCTGCAGACGCACAGTAACCGCGCATTTTGATAATATCTATTTTTGTTTTTAATTCTTGAGGTTCTGAGGAACATTATATTCTGTTACATTTATGATTTTCAAAAAGTTGCGAACAATAAAGCGTAGTGAAATTTTGCGGAGATGCGGTAAAGGCGCAATAAAAAATTTAGATAGTCGTAGATCCATATACTGCCCTCGTAATGAAAAAAGGCACATCTATGCGTACTTTACACAGCAGTTATGCCTTTTTTCGTTCCGCAGGGCAGTATACTGTCCATATTTTGAATGTACCATTTAAAAAAAAGAGCTAGTCCTATTCCTAACCGTATGCTGGACGGAACTAGATCTTAGCCATTTAAATAATCTATGAAATAATAATCTATGTCATCTATATATCTTTAATAGGTTTATGCGACACCGCTGTATGTATTTTTTACTTATTATAAGCTATGTATATTACTAATAAATAAAAATAAAATTATGCATGTGGTATACTTAATTACAGAATTGTTCTGTAGATAATTATCATAATTATAATTGATAAAAATTCATCATTACCTATTTGTAAAGTGATTCTTCTTCATATCGTATCGACGGCATATACCAAGTATAATATCATTGGCATATACTATATTATTGTACACGCCGAATGTTGCCCAGGATACGCCAGTCGTACTAGGAATACGATTCGTACGTCATTGCTATGGTGCTCCTTTCGTGCACCCCACGCTTGAATCAAATATAACGTTAACAATTTTGACACCAACGGTATTTCTGAAGTGAATTTACTTTAATATTTGTAAAACAAATTAAAAATTACAGTAGACACTTTATCCATATCATATCCATAAAGCTTAAGACAGTGTTTTGCGATGTTTACGTTTTGATTTTATAACGTCAGCCCGGAAAATACCGTAAACATTGTTTGTAAATAAAACTGTCCAGACATCGCAACATTTATCGTTGAGTAATAATGATAAAAGTATATATTTATGTGAAATGTCGCTGAAGACGGCATTGACCATCGAGATTGCTCAGGACAATGAATAACGTCATTCAATCCGGCAGTACGTGTGACCGTCTAATTGATGACTACACCAATTTATTACGAAATTCTAACCAAACGCAGGGTCTTTACCGTTTGCTTGTGCTAATAATCACCGATTATTCTGTTTTCGATTTGTGCTCCTTCAAAATTAAAAATGCGAGGTCTTAAGGTAATGCGTTGCTTCTGAAAATCAATTTGACGAGCTGTATTTTAGAATATTTACTCGATTGTTCTTTATTTTTATGAAAGGTCTATCGTCAATATTTTAGCCACCTACTCCTAAAGTTACTTCTCTTTCTTTTCAGATTACACTGGCCCATCAACAGCCAAATTAAAATTTGCCTCGAAAAATACTTAGCCGTGAGGTGAGATTTCAACATTCTTTAACGTAAATAGTGTTGGGTTATGGAAAAATTTCCACTTTGAAAAAATCATATTTTTCAGAAAAAATCATATTTTTCCGGATATTTTTCCAATATTTTTCCTTTAGTTTCCACATTTGACGTTGACAGCTGTCAAAAGTTGAAGTTACTGAACGAAAACGATGGAGCCAAGAAGAGGTGGTGGTGGTGTGGTTGTTGGAGGTTTTCTCGCTGTTGTGAAATTATTATAAATCTCATATTTATTACAGGTGGTTTCTACATAAACAAGTTTATTTTATAATTGACGCTAAATAAAACTTCAAAATATATTGCAAAACGTAGAATATAACGTGGGCCTTCTACATTATATTTTTCCAATATTTCGGGAATTTTTCGGGAAAAATTTCCACCATTTCAAATTTTTCGGAAAATTACCCAGTAGTAAACGTATAGAACAGTTCCGTTTTCTCAAAAACCTAATAGTATATTGAACGCTTCGTTAAAGTTAGAACGCTACTTTGCGTCACATGCGCAACAGTGCTCCACCTATTGGAGAATTTTGAAATTAGTCGCCACTCCATGAATGAAAATGAATGAGTGTCTTCCGTAACCTAATTCCATATTTCGATTTAATTTTAAAACTTGTGACTTATTCTTTATTGTTGTAAATGACAAGAAAGTGTATTAAAATGTATTGAAACGTGTGCTTCTTAGTGTAGGTCTTCTATTTAGAGAATAAGAGGTGTGTTAGCCAAGCTAGCCTTCTGACTACATCGTTCCGCCTTGACAGTAAAGTACCTACATGTTCATTTGAAATTATTTTTACTTGTTCTTTTCAGGAATCTACACAATGGCGTTAATACTGCAGTATATAAATGACATGCACCTGTTTATGGACAAATATGGAGGTAAGTTGCCTGCCAAAAATATGAAAATGTAGGCATAACCTACTGATAACCCAATCAATTATGTGATTTGAGTTATCCTTATCACTATGTAAGTTCCTAAAATAAAATTGTGACAAACGTGCAACAAATTTGAACGTGATTCGGTCCAAATCTTTTTACATTAACACATTACTTAATTTAGGTTAGATTCTTATAGGTATTTTTATAAATGTAATTACAAAATATCCTGACATAAAAAATAGCATCTATTATATTTATATTAAAAACGAATCCTAAGCATGTAATATGGCATAAATTAATATAAAAGTAAATTTATTTAACACATTCAATAACAAACTTTTTTAAACAAACACAATAGTCAAGAAAAGATATTGTAGAATTTCACATAATTATCATAGTTTTTGACAATATCCAAAAATATTGTTTTGCATACATTAGCAGCACCAGTACTTATAACATGAAAGACTAAAATTATAGTATTAACAAAGTAACCTATTCATTAAATGAACAAGAATTATTTGATTATTAGCTTTTCAATTTCAGCAATTTGTAAAGGTAAACATATAATAATGAATGCTTAATTTTTTTAAATATACTTGATACTGAAAGGTCCACTGTATGGCAGTGAGAACTGCCATCTAAAAATTTGCAATATTAAGGAAGTATCTTTAATAATTCAAATGCATTACCAGTGGTCAGATGTTAACCTCGTGTTTATGATTGTAGTGAATTGGATTTTACACTGAGAGAAAACCCCACCAGTACAACAAATGACTAAATTTAAGATCTTTTGAATAAATATTTTATTGACTTGAAAGCATTGACTTACAAATAAATGGACGACAGGTCTAATACAAAAACCACGAAAAAAATGTCCCAAGTCAACCTATTCGAAATTTAAATTGTAATGTAATCGCAGTATCGCGCTGTCAGTAGAACAAATGAAGACTAAAGCGGAGTGTGGCACTCTGTATACGATTTTAGCGCCTTACAAGTGCGGACACTTTTTAGCGCGGACCCGACGTCCATATAATTGTAAGTCAATGCTTGAAAGGCATAATAAAATTTCATTACTTGGCTAAGCCTTTTTAGTATATAAGTACTAGCCGTATCCAGCATGCGTTGCAATGCTACTAGGAGAAAAAGAAAATTGTCTTTTAGCTCTGCAACAGTTTTAATCCTGTCTAAATCGTTGCCCAGTGGGACTAATACTTCAGCAAGTTGGGCACGACAAGTCAGGAAAATTTTATCACAATCGGATTACTAGTAACAGAACGCATCCTAGTAAAACATATTAATTTTTATGTATCTTTACAAGTACATTAATTTCAATAAAAAATTGTTTTTTCAGAACCTATACAATCATGGAATTTTACACATTATCATTAGATTTTAAAACGAATTTCTTTAGTTGATATTTTGTTTTTTTAACAACATTTTTGAAATACTTATCATAAACCTCAGTTGTTTTTTAAATATTACAAAGGACACAGTAATCTTAAGTCCTTAAATGTATAGGAAATGAAACTATTTTTCCGGATTTAAATCGCATATACTCGTTTTTACAAATAAACCGACGTTTCGGGCCCTTTACAGGTCCCATCAACCCAGTCAACCATGACCATGGGAGCTGTAAAGGGCCCGAAACGTCGGTTTGTTTGAAAAAACAGATATACGCAATTTAAATCCGGAAAACTAGTTTCATTTCCTATGTGTAACAATCGCGAAAACCTAAGAACTCCTTAAATATACTCAAGCTTAAGAACTACGTAGGTACTTGTATGATTAAGTAATAAATCTAAATATATCACAGACTTGCTGCCTGGGATATATTTAGAATCTAGACCAGACTACAGAATACATGTGGACAAAGTTCCTTTACATAAATAGATAATGCAGTGCATGACTGTAATTTTCACAATCGTAATAATATTGCAAAAATAAGCATTACAATGTTATAGTCATTAAAATAACTTAAAATTTTTATGACGTAAAGTCGGAAAAAACTATTACAAAAAAATTGTAATTACAGCATTAGACTTCGTTATTTTTAATTTAAAAAATCATTGGCGATTTAGGTTTTAATATACCTATTTGAAACATAAATGAGAATGTATACCTATTAGCAACCTAAATGAGTATGAGGTACCCATCATAATCCTGTGCATATTTTAATTAATAATTAAAAATAAGTTGAAAATGTGTTTGAAAGTTACAGTACAGCATGTTTGTAAAATGAACTCATTTCACTTTTTGGAGATTGGCCCTATCGACATCAAGTTCTGCCAACAATGTTTCGCCGGTGACGTCTGTTTATAATCGGTTAAAGTCCATTCCGCGTTGATTAGTTTGTATTCTAATTCTATCTAATCCTTATGATAATTCTGCATTAAGAGTTCAGTATATTAAAAGACACGGCAAATTACAAACATGGGCTGTTATGTAGTCATCATCCCCAGCCTGTTTTCACCTACAAATGGGTATAGGCCTCCCGAAGTTTGTGCCGACCACCATGGTCCTGTCCACATCCATTGACGCCTCGTCGTCGTCGACCCACCTTGCAACTGGGCGCCAGACGCTTTTTTTGCCTATCCTCACGTCATCATCAATCACGTCTTGCTCCACCTGCCATCATATTATTATGATATCCTTAGGAAACTCGAAACTTTTTCGCCGGGTGGACCAAGAGTAGGGGAATTTTCGTCTTTTACTCGAAAGTTCTTGCCTTAGTCATTGGCTCGCCGAATACCGTTCGTTGCGCATCTCGTAAGATCCTCATAAAAATAGCGTCCGTGTACGTTGCACCATATGCCTGTAAGGTTAGTAACAACCCGGATTACGCGCTCGCCTGTTATTATTATAGTTGACATTCAAGAGTAACTGCTGATTGTCCCCTTGCCGGCGGGCGATTATAGTCAATGCTACTATTTCACACTTCATAACTTTTGTCATGTATGTATATATACTTCCTCATAGGTATAATCAATTATCCTGTTATTTTTCCCACTGTCAGTTATTGTGCACCTAAACATTGATCTGTACAAATTTTTTTTTTCCTCTTAGAACAAAATGTACGTTTAAGTATAGGTAAGGTAATATAGAGAATTTATTTTTCTTGCAGATCCTCGAACGAATCCATGGTTCCTGATGAGTTCCCCGTTACCTACTTTAATAATATGCCTAAGTTACGTTTATCTAGTCAAGGTACGTTATTTTTGATAAATAAATAATTTTAGTCGTCATAAAGTGATTAGTTGAGTGGAACGTCAAGGAATTATGAACGCGTAACTTAACCCTATTTTTTTATTATTGACTTAGAGCGGCTACACATGGCGCGTTTATGAAACGTGCGAATGCATCGTGATATTTGCAATTTTATACGCGATTGCATCGATACAAACGCGCGACTGCATTGGTTTCATTATGTGCGAAAAATCTGCATAGGTTTATGCACATTGTTTTGTTAATTTAAAAGTGAAATAAATAAATTCATTAATTAAAAATGGAAATCACGTTTGCATTGCGATTGTATCGCTGTAGACGCGCTGCTAAAAGTCGCCGTTTGTAACCGCTCTTAGTAAACATTTTTACATTTAAAGTTTTTCATTCAACAGCACGTGTAGGTACTTTTCCGCTGACCATTGACTATCGACTTATTTATTAACAGAATTATATGTAAAGTAGGTGCTATAGCCTTTTGTCAATAGAAACTACTTACTTGTCAAAAGAAATAATTAACGAAAATTTTCCTTTTAGGTTTTAGGTCCACGATTTATGGAAAATAGGAAGCCATATGAACTAAAAAATTTTTTAGTAGCATACAACTTGTTTCAAGTATTGTTCAGCTCATGGTTATTTTACGAGGTAAGTTCGAAATACTTTTTTGCTATTATCAAATTAAGTACTTATACGAAGAAGTATCACTAATAATGATAATAATGCATTTAGAGACAATTGATTTTTTTTTTATTGATTTGAGTTAGTTTTTTAAGATAAGCCGTGAGACCACTAGATTTAATACTACTTCTTAAAATAGTTCTTATTCTAACTATTTTAATAAAATACTTATATAGAAAATAGGAGGTCATACCTACCTACTAGTTCGACGTATAAGTACTCTATACATAATGTATAAGAATATAGTTAAATAAAGTATATACTAAATCTTATTATATGCGTATGTACCAACGATTTATTTTTAAAATGCTATACCCAGAGCTTGATGGGGGGTTGGCTGAAGCATTACAGCTTTCGTTGCCAGCCCGTGGACTACACAGAGAATCCTGTAGCCACTAGAGTAAGTGCTAGGCATGACTGCCTAAGAAAACAAGACGTCACTGTATATAGACATCGTGTCAATAATTCCAGGAAATTGTATATAGTACGCGAGGGAGAAAATTTGTAATACAATTTATAAGGATACTTGAATGAAATGTACTAACGTTACTATACTAGCCATCTGTCCATTGTACATTGACCACATAATAAGCAGGACTGTCATGTTGGCGAATAGAAAGGGATGGGTGTACAAAAAGGAGTGAGAGAATTTGTGTCACGATGTATATTGAAAACCTGACACATTTTTCCAAACAACACTTGGTATTGCTACAAATTATTAATTAAACCCCAACTAGTTTTCAAATTTAAATATACTTTCGAAGTCAATATCTAGTACTATCGCATAGATAATACAACTTCAAAAGTCGTTTTGCCTTAAATCTCTCCACTGCCATACTTGTCGCATCATATCTTTTTCTATTTAAAAGCTAGTATGAAAGTCCTGCTTCGATTGCGTCTATCGCATAATATGTGTGGTGATTAACCCGTGCGAGCACGAGTGTAAATACAAATAACATAGGGCCTGGTGTCGGCATTTGTTTCAGATCGGCTCATCGGGCTGGTTCACAGGCAGGTATAACTTTCACTGTCAGCCGGTCGACCACTCCAAACATCCACAAACAATGAGGGTGATTTTTTCTTATCAATTTATTAACCCTCATTCAAATCACCTCTAGTCTATTCTAGAAATTTCCTATTTACTTTTCAATGTTCCCTTAAACCTTTGTTCCTTATAGTCCTCATATCGTTCGTCTTAGAGTGTATACCTCCTCCGTGATTTGTATGTATTTTTACGGGACGACGATAAAAATGTGATCTAAAATATAGTAAACGCAAATAATGTTTGTAGTTAGTATTTCAATTAGTTAAATTGTACCTCTTTCAGATACTATATTACTTTAATAATATATTTGAGCAAGAAGTTTATAAGTTATTCATCAACAAAAACCCAATAAAAACTGAGTATGTTAAAACGCGTTTGCGAAGTTTTCACTCTTTAGCGACAATATGTAGTCTCTGCCTAAAGTCTTCATGCTAGGATGAATGTTTAATCCATAATGCTACTCTTCTTTATATATACATTTCAACTTCCGATTTATACACTTCATGCATTAAAATCTTTGACAATAGGCAGTTACAAACATGTATCATAACTAGTGGTCGTATAATCGGGCGCTTATTTACCTAAACTTCACTATAATCTCCACGAAAAAATATTATGGATAATATAAAAAAGTATCTATTTAGAAAGGCATGTCCATTTTATTTCTTCATGGGCGATAAAAATCAGGAAGTTTAGGTAAATAAGCGCCCCAATATCCGATCTTTGGTTATAACACAGATATATGAGTTCTTAGACTGTCGCGATTGTTATACATAGGAAAAGAAACTATTTTATTGGATCTAAATCGCGTGTATTTGATTTTTTTTCATTCAAACCAAATAAAGTCAAATAGTGACAACTGAGTCAGTCGTGACTATGGGACCTGTAATACGCCCAAAACGTTGGGTTTGTTTGATAAGAATAAATATACGCGATATCCGAAAAAATAGTTTCAATTCTTACAAATATATGTGTTTTTAAATTATGTTTACCAATAGCCTGCTTCAGTACTTCCACAGCTACCTTCTATATACTATTTTACATACTTTACCTATCCCAATTCAACTACTCGATCTACATTACATTACGTTACCGCAGTTTTGGTAAATTGTCGTATATAATATACACAATCATTGTAGTTTTACACGTGTTTTGCAAAATCTAGATTATAGTTGTGCAAAAGTGCAATTTGCAAAGTGCTTTGCCAAATGACTTACTTTCAAAAGTGTCCCCGGTATATTCGCTAATATGAGTATCGAAATCAGCGTTGCCCAACGCAGACTTCCAAGTACATATCGCGGAGGCCGCAAGCAATTACCTTGTGACATATTTATTCTAAAATACATATTTACTTTCCGTTGTCATTAGTAGGAAGATGTACGGTTTTAAAGTCATGCCTTCTTAATAAAATGCAAGATGCGGTGACGGCTGCGTGAATCTAAGTAAGTATAGTTGGCGAAATATTATTTGCACCTATTCGTCTTACCTTTAGAGTAAAATAGGACAAAAGAGTGAGCCATCTCGGTTACGCACGTGCCATCTGTATAGTGCAAAGAACTACTTTGAACACTTACGCATTGGCACTTAATTCTAAACTTGGTAATCTTTATAGGGAACTAACTTTGTTGAATTAGTAGGAATACAGTCGGCAGTCGGTATTTTACGAAGTACCTAGTAGTTAAAAGAAACGACCTGATAAATAAATAAAGAATTCACAACTAGAATTTAGAAAAAGCATTTAACGCACCCATGACTTGTACAATGGACCAAGATCATTAAATCCATGTACGTTTTAAGTAAAAAAAGCGTTAATGGGTTTATTACTCTATTGTGATAGAAAAGACAAGTCATTCCAAGAGATAACATTCATCGGTGCAAATAATATTTCTTCAACTAATACTCCCCGCAATTTTCACCAATTGAATTATATACCTACCACTTTTTCATTAAACTGGAATAATAATTTATATTCGAGTAGCCAACAATTGATAATAGAAATTGTAGTAAATAATAATAATAAACACTAACAAACCAAGGAAGAATAAAAACCTATTTACAATTAGAATTACAGACTACTATTTGTACAGGTGATTGCGGGGTCCTGATCCCGACTCGTTGTTTGTAATTCAGTAAATGATTTCGATTACATTAGTATACTGTTTTTTTTAAATAATTGCATTATAGACATGCATTCCAAATTAATACTGACTTATACACCTTTTAACTTTCTTTTTTTTTAATAAACTGATCAGACAAGTAAGAAATTGTTAAAAGTTCAGACCAATGATCTCATCTACTTCATTGGTTAGGATAAAATAATCATGATACCAAAAGGAATTTGATATCGCATCGATGGCATACACTTTTTCTGGGGTCGGCGGACTAAAGCACATAAGTCAAAAAAGTGCTTCAATTGTTAATATATAATATATATAATTATATTAATTGTTTTTTTGTGTGTCGTTTATACTGTTGGAAGATGTGAAGAGAATGATAAATCCGAAAAAAACACCTCTAGAATAAAGTTACAAATTTATGAAGTAACAAATGAATTTGAATTGTTTGCTTTAGCCGGTAGATGTATTAATTTAAATGAATGATGTTGAATTTTGACTTAAGTGCTTTAGTCCGCCGACCCTACTTATTTTTTCACGTATACATTTCATTGCCTTAACGCTTCCAAATATATTACGTTGTGTTCCTAATGAGATAGTAAGTCACGATTAAATGTGTTTCTACACTACACCGCAGACACTATATTTTTCTAACTCGCGTCATCTTTAGGAAAAACTATACTAGAAATGAAACTATTTTTCCGGATTTAAATCGCGTATATTTGTTTTTTCAAACAAACCGACGTTTCGGGCCCTTTACAGGTCCCATGGTCACGGTTGACTGAGGTGGTTGAAAAAACAAATATACGCGATTTAAATCCGGAAAAATAGTTTCATTTCCTATGTGTAACAATCGCGAAAACCTAAGAACTCGAACTATACTAGATCTTAAAATAATGCAATCTTGGCATATCATCATTGTCTTTGCACTGACACAAATTACGATGTCTGACATTCCATATTCTCGTAAGTTACGATACACCTCTTAATCACCTTGCCTGTTTATTTTTAAGTAGTTACGTAGGTAACTATCTACTTACAAATAAACAAACGTCCAATAATGTGCATGTTTAAAGAAGTAGAACATTTTTTCCTAAATTATCCCTTTAGAAGTCAAAGATATATTATCTTGTTTCTGGTTTTGAATTTTAAAGCTACCGACATAAGAATTTACCACCAATTAAATTTCCTTTTCGTGATATGGTTTCCTTTACTAAATTTACTACTAAAATCTTTATCTTGCAAATGTTCACAAACAAACGTTCTGTTTCCAAGTTTTCTAAGGTCAACTAACGCAAACTAATACGAGAATTTTAATTTACAGATGGTTTATGCCTGCTGGTGGTACTATTTTTCCAAATTCACTGAATTTCTTGATACGGTAAGTAAAACTACGAAATTTGATTTAGCCGACATGTTACTGCAAATTAGCAATTCGTAAAAACCCTGATATTACTCAAATTATATTATTAGTGTTGTGCTTTAATAACAAAGTAGATTGTAAGTCAAGTAATTTTTTTACCTCTTTTAATTTAGTTTTTATTTTAAGCTAAACTAAAGAAGGCTGAATCAATTTATTCTTGTTTAATTATTTATAATTTTATTGTACACAGGCCTAAACAAAGTCCTAATACAAAGGGAAAAAGACATGCAAAATGTTCGTATTGTTCTTATTTATTTAAGTCATAAGACCTCAGAAATTATAGAATATAATGAATATCATATATTACGAATTATCTTACAGATTCGCTTATTTATGTACATACTTAGATACTATACATTATTTAATTTGTGCTAAAAGTTAGATATAAATCTGTACAAGCTATGAATCAAATTTATCAATAGCGTTATGCAACAAAATAACAATCATATTTTAATTTCCAGATCTTCTTCGTGCTGCGAAAGAAGTTTGATCATGTGTCTACCCTGCATGTGATTCATCACGGTGTGATGCCAATGTCAGTTTGGTTCGGCGTCAAATTCACGCCTGGCGGTCACTCTACTTTCTTCGGTCTCCTCAACACTTTCGTCCACATCATTATGTACACTTACTACATGCTGGCAGCCATGGGACCACAAATGAGGCCCTACCTTTGGTGGAAGAAGTACCTGACTACATTACAAATGGTAACTTTAACAAAATGTTTATAAACCTTTTAGTTAGTGTTTTGAATTCAGCAATTTTAAAGTCTTGATCAGGTTTTTCAGTTCAGGTTATGGAAAAAGTTGTGTTTCATTTGAGATAGGACAAGTATGTATAATAATATAATTATAATAGTTATAATAGTCTAACTATATACGAGTATAGTATAGTCTCGCTGCTGGGCATAGACCTCCTCTCACAACGAGACTGCTTGGGCTAGAGTTCCCACGCGGACCAAATGAGGATGGGAACTTCACACACATTATTAAATTACTTTGCAGACGTGCGCAGGTTTCGCTCACGATGTTTTTCTTCACCGAAATGCCATTGTACATTTCAAATTAAATTCGCTCATAAATTCCGAAAAACTCGTAGGTGTAAACCCGGATTACGACCCTCTGCTTGAGAGTCGGTAAGTGAAACTGTTAGGCTACCACGACTTATTTAAATTTTAATTTGTTAAATTACACTAAGGAACAAATTTTCAAAAAGGTTATCTTTCTGGTTACTGTCAAGTATTGGTTTTTGTTACATTGAGCAGCAAGTATATAGAAAATTAGTAATTATACCCCTGAAACGTTGCTTTTGTGGTTGTCACAGAGGTATTTACATAGTTTTTTTTATAATATCAAATTATGGGACGAACAAATCGTGCGCCTGATTGTAAGCGACACGCCTGTCCATAACAGATGCAATGCCGCTCAGAGCTATAAATCGCAAAGATGTGAGGGGCATGCCACTGCACCCGTTGACAAGTTGACAAGTCCCATGTGCCTATAATATCACCAGCACCCTTCAAAACCGGAACAGAATAATGCTGACATTACTGCTTGGCGGCAAAAATAGGTAATGTGGCAGTACTTCCCTGGACGAACTCTTTCACAAAGAGCTCTGCTGCTATTAAAAACTACATAGTCGTATTGACATAATCTCGCAAAACTACACATTTATAGATACTTTATATGGTGCTATTTATGGCATTAGTGTATAGTCCTAGCAGAAAGACGCTAACTAAAGTAAAGAAAAACACTACTATACCTAAACCGTGATATTTCATCAAGTTTCTCCTCCATCGATAAATTAGTATTTAAATTAAAACGAATATGATTTGAAAAGACTGTGATTGAAGCCATATCTACCAACCAGTCTATCACCGAAATAGGCATAGATATAATTAGAAATAAATGGCATGTATATCGAGTTCTTGGGTTTTCGTGATTGTTACTCATAGGAAATGAAACTATTTATCCGGATTTAAATCGCTTATATTTGTTTTTTCAAACAAACCGACGTTTCGGGCCCTTTATTTGACACGGTTGAAAAAACAAATATACGCGATTTAAATCCGGAAAAATAGTTTCATTTCCTAATTGGCATGTAATTACATGTAAATGTAATTAATTGTAAAGGGCGAGGTTGATTCGAAAGAATTGAAAATTTGCATTTAGATTAGAATAGAATAGACTTGGATACAAAAAAAGAGATTAATAATACTTAGACAAACATAACAGTCATTATTAGACTGTGGCGTTGGGTGACAATGAGCCTGTTATATACGTAAGCATAATTAAATTATGAACTTTTTTTTTCGGTTCACAAAACTGGGTACAATTCATATGTAAACTAAAGTAATATCTAACATTCTGTATTTATCAGTCAAAAATGGAATGACTAAACAAATATGGGTACTTGGTAACAGATACACGTCAAAGAGCCGAAATGAGTGAAAGACGTGTGTGTCGCAAAATACGTAAATACTTGTGTATATATGTGTGTACATTGTGTTACTTCTGTATGTTTATATAATAACATTTTCCTCTCAAAATTACTTTCGAGGTTATGAAAATTCGAGCAAATGTTATTTCCTAACGAATTCGAATTCTCCAAACGTTAAACGTTGTCAAAACTATTTATGGACATCAGACAGTAATTGAAAAATTTTTTTTCATATTTTTAGATTAACGAACAATTTTTCAAAATTTATTACTACACACTGCTTCTTGATTTGTACCATGAACCCAAGTACCTTCTGTTACACTTAGAACGAAACGTTGGCGTCTTCTATACCAGTTAAAAAGTGAAACAAAGCGTGGATCCATCACAGACGTGCTCTCACGATCGTTTTTGCCGAATATCGCCTCCAGAGCAACGAAATAAGATCCGTCAATGTCTAACTTGGTATGCTGTCGTCTGTACATAGCAATACTTCTCGGCAAAACGGCTAAGGAAAACATCGCGATGAACCAGCGCAGTATACAACCCTCATTGGGCTAGCGTCTATGGACTTCACGCTATTCTTAAAAGAGACCGTGCCCAGAACTGCGACGTATAAAGGGATGACGAAGTTGTATCAATTGATTTGGTTGTTTAATTCCAGGTGCAATTCGTGGGCATAATGGTGCATGCATTCCAACTGCTATTCATTGAGTGCGACTACCCGCGTGCTTTCGTCTGGTGGATCGGCATGCATGCTGTTATGTTCTTCTTCCTCTTCAGAGACTTCTACAACCAGTCTTACAGCCAGAGGCCTAAGGTACGTACGCAAACCAGATTTTGTTGTAATAAAATTCCCATATAATAGTCCCATTAGGACGACGAAATTTTTCTATTATTAATCATAACAATATAATATTAATATATATTAATAATATTAATATAGTATTAATAATCATAACAAAACTAGTATAGTTAATTTACAAATAAAAAACTCAATACAGAAATGTATACGTTAAATCATAATACATCGTACTAAGTGGTTGCATTTATCGTACAAAAATTATATCATTTTGCATTTATATATTTTACAAAGTATTTCATTTTGTAGAGTAAATTTGCTTTATTTACTACAAACGAAGTCTATATTGCGTTATTATGATTAAAGTTCACGCTACGGAGCCCTATGTTGCTATCTGGCTTTCAAAGAACAAACTGAAATAAGCCTTTGATAGAGCAAGTGGCGGCGCGAACTGCCGACGGGAGGACACCGTGGGACTTTCTTTTGTTATATTGCATTTTGCAAAGATCTTTTTCATTGTATGTTTAAAGCAATGTAACCTTATATTGTAAAGGATAATATTAATATTGTATTGGTCGTTTGAGACGACCCTAAGGGTGGTTACACACGGCGACTTTTAGCAGCGATGCAAACACGCGTTCGTGAAGCGCACGAATGCATCGGTACACTTCCGATTTATAGGCGACTGCATCGATGCAAACGCGCGACTGCATCGATACAAACGCGCGACTGCTTTGTATCGAACAAACACGAGATTGCATCAATGCAATCTCCTATAAATCCCAAGTGTAGCGATGCAGTCGCGCGCTTGCATCGCGTTTGCGTCTCTGCTTAAAATCGCCGACTGTAACCGCTCTCAATCAGTAACTTTTTTATTTAGAGTTCATCAAAATCTGTCTACAAGTTTATATAGAAAAATACTGTCAAGTTTCCCAACGAACTATGCAGGGATTACAGACCTCCACTTGCGACGACACTACTACTAAAACCAGCATACTTTCTCTTCGTTCATTCTCAGCGATCTCTCATTATATTCCGGTCAATTTTAACCTTGTAATAATTGAACAAACTATTTATTAATAATTTTTATTGTTGTTACAGGTCCGCGCTAAATCTCCGAAACCGGACGCAATAGAGACGACAGAGATCAAAGACAAAGAAATAACGTACAAAAACGGCTCAACTAAGAACGGCTACAGTAACGGGCACACGAACGGAACTCTAGTACGTGCCCGCACGGTACTGCCCGCCGGCAACTGACGCCGCGTCACCAACCCCACCTAGCATTCCGGAACATTCTGTGATTCATAGCCGAGAGTGGTCGCCGGACGTTGAAGCCAAAGCTTTAGACGTAGCCTGGGGGAGGTTATTGAGGGTCAACTGTTTACCCTTATCACTAAATAATCGTCGTGTTATTGTCAGTTACCATAAGTAAAATCCTCCCACAGGGTTAAGGAACAAAAAAGTCCTTGCTGCGCCAATAGCTGAAGCTGTATTTGTGCGTGTGGACTTGCGGGCCCAGCCGCCTGCCGGCCGGCGCCCGCACTTGTTAGTGTTAAATGAGATTTATTTAGTGTAAATATAGATGGTATCAATGGTGTAAATTTTATTTTAATGAGATGTAAAAGTATAGCTAGATTTGTGATCGCATAGCGTTTTGTACTTTTATTAGAAGTTATAGAAATTAGAAATTATAGGACATCTGAAAAGCAGTCATAATAATCACCGATAGTCTTTGTAAAAGGGTGCTTTTTCAATGTTTCATGTTTTTTTATAGTTTTGTGGAATAAAGTACCTTGCCGCAATTAAGTTAATACAATGAATAAATACGATTATTATAAATGAGCATTAGATATTTCATATTATGAAGTGAAATAAAGCAATTTTCTTGGAATATTTTTAATAACGTTTGTTATACATAATAACTTTGAAATTAGATATATTCAAAGTAATAATGACTGCACTCATCGAAGTACAACCAAGTTTTGATTTTTATTTCAAAGAAGCAATCGAATCAATGCAATTTAGCGTAATATGACACCGAAGTGGTTGTGTTGGTTATTTATTTTGATTAATTTATATTTTATTTATACCAAAATTAACTATAATAAGATCAAATTAATAACGGGTTTTATAGCAGTAGCCAGCAGCTCTTCCTTAGTCTTCCGTTTCAATTTGTGCTTAGCTAAATTACCAGGTGCTTATAGTACTCGGAACAATGTTGACTGCGAGCAGCCAATATTCGTCGCCATTTTTTATGCCCATTTTCTTTCGTTTAACCATTCGTTGAGTTCATTTTACTGTGTACCTATTGTAACTTTTATACAAAAATAATGGGAATAAATGATAAGTATTATTATGAAATCACTTTTATTCCTTTCAAATTCAGTACAAAAACACTATAAACATATATGCTTAGTTGGCATAGCGTCTGGATCGATTTGCTAGAAGACGTCGGTTTGAATCCGGCCGGATCGAAGGTATTTTTGCTAAGTGCTCGATCTTTGTATTAATAATTATAACAAATTAGTGGAGTAATTACACAAAAAATAATTGAATATCAAGGTGGTGAAACATTCTGACATTCAATAAAAACACTACCTATATAATATATATAATATATAAATAACGCACACACTCAACATAGCCCCGCACTAGGGAAACCCTGTGTCGCGGGTGCCATGGACACACATATAGACAACCACAAATTACACCCAAACTCACGAGAGAAATAATTGTAGGCCATACAAATATTTCTCCCGGCCCGGGAATCGAACCTGGGACCTCTGCGTGGCAGTCCGGCATGGTAACCGTTCGGCCACGGAGGCAGTTTAAACATAAATTACCTGTTAATATACGCGAAAATAATTCTTTTTTGTAGGCACTAATTAACACGTTAACAATACATTGAGTGAATATGAAAGTGGAAAAAGAAAACAAGCGATTTTTCTTTTTTGTAAAAGGCAAAATATTTTAACTCCACAGAGGTGTTTTCTTATAGCAGCTAGGGAACAATTTTGCCAATATCGAGTTTCATGACTCACTTTCCCATGGAAAAAAAAGTTATTAATTAACCATAATAATTAGCTATATGTAAGAAAATATATCCAGTACTATAGCTTGTCGGTGACAACAGTTTAGTGGAAGCAAAACGTTCACGACTATAACATAATATAATAACTACACAATCTTAGAATAATAACGCATAAAATGATAGTTTCATATCGAACAAGTGAGGCAAAAATCAAATTCATGTAGGCTAGTTTTAGTAGTAAGTTAATTTTCGGCTTTAGTGAATAGTTATATAAATATACAAGTTGAAACGCGTTACTTTCTTGTGGAATGTGATGTTAGTATCTGTTTTATGTTTGTCTGACGTATTTTTACACTCATTTACCGCAGATTTCGTCATTTTTGGCTAAAATTCTTGAACTGTTCGCGGTGCAAGTTGACCTTGAGCACTGAAGGCCCGCCCGCCTTTGGGCGCGCTTCAATTTGCCTCACTTAGCGGACTAAGTTTCTATGCGTTATTATTCTAAGTACACGATCACATTTTGTTATAATCTAAATTTCAACACATTTTCTAATTATATTACAAAACAATTTCGCAATGGTGTTAGACAATTTTAATATAAAATACACACCTATTATTATGTAGGGGTTAAAATATGAAACTGTGGAACTAAATTTCTGGGTGAATGCTGTAGAAATGAGAGCTTTGCGCAATATGTGCAGTGGGTCTTAAAGATAGAATGCCGAACAGTATAGTAAGAGAGTGTTATGGTATGAAAGACGATGTAGTGACAAGGGTAAAAAGAGAAATGCTTCGATGGTTTGGTCGTGTACAAAGAATGAATGTTGGTAGATTGACGGCACAAATTTATAGAGGGAATGTCGATAGAAGCGTGGAGAGAGACCTCGGCGAATAAATCTCAATCAGATTGAGAATGTCCTTGAAAAAGGTCGGGTTAAAAGAACCAAGAATTAACGGGCATGTATGAAGAGATTGATGGGACTTGAGGAGGCGAAGCAGGTTTGTCAGAAGCGTAGCAAGTGGAGGTCCATAGTTTCTGTCTACCCCGGTGGGAGACAGGCGTGGTGATATGTATGTAAATTTCTAGCCACTTTAAAATGAAATAAAGAGATTTTGGTGTAAGATTCAGATAAGAAACTTATCTCAAATAACACTCAACAAATCCACCTCTACCTTTGTTTAGACTGCTAACAGATGAGCTTGTCTGCATTTAATGCATACGATGGTAATCAAGTGCATGCAGACGAGACTTAAAACTTCGTACAAAAGAGATTTCAACTATTAAAAGCGTCAGCTACAGTCTATATGAATGTTCGAGAATCGAAAGCGGCAACCATCGAGTATATATGTATATATAACCACTCGATAGCAGCAACACATTCATAAGGGGATATTTTAGTTGTATCTCAAAAAACAACGTGGTTATTTCAGTAACGACAAAAAAAATTACAATTACTTGAGGGTAAAACTAAAACGCGACAAGTGAGTGCTTTCTCGACTTATTATTTCACATTTGCACAATTCTTAAAATATTTATGTAATGGCATCTTTGTTTCCAATTTAGAAAGCAAATCCCACCACAAAGTCAGTGATTACGGATGTGAGTTTGTTGACAAATTAAAATAAAAAAGATTTCTATAGTGACGTTTATGTTCTATAATAGAAAAAAACCGACGTCAAAAGTTCATGCAATTCTTTTTTTTCCATCCTCTAAGGTACAATTACACCTATTTGCCAATTTTTATTGATTTCAATACGATTACCGAAACCGGATTCATCTCCCTAGTTTGCCACCATCAGAGGTGGAATATTTAAATGGGACCAACACTGCGGTACCCTCTTTCCAACAAAAAAGAATCATCGAAATCGGTTCACAAATTCAACGAAGTATTCGCGTAACATCATTGACCTACCAATAGGTCAATGCGTAACATACACAAATTACAGTCGAATTGAGAACCTTCTCCTTTTTAGAAGTCGGTTAAAAAAGTAAAGTCAACCATTTAAACCATGTTCTGAATACAGTGCCAAGCTACAAGTAACATCTGTGCTTCCATTTCTCACTGAGCTCCGCGCGCGGCGATAAATGCTTGCAGTCAGTGTAGATTGTCGTTTTTTTACGATACCGAACGGACAAGTTGTGCGCCTTGTGGTAAGCGACACGCTGTAAATCGCAAAGATCTAAGGGGCACTGCCGCTGCGCCAATCACCCTGAGACTTAAGTTGGACAAGTCCCATGTACCAACCAGCATCCTTACCCTTCAAAATCGGATCGCAGTAATGCTCACATTACCGCTAGGCGGCAGAAATAGTCAATGTGGCAGTAAGTGCTTCCCTGGACTAGCTAACTCTTTCACAAGGAGCTGTACTGCTACTATACACGGTGTAAATTTGAGACAGGGCAGCAAGGCCAGCTACCTTAATCGTTGTAGTTACAGGAAAACAGTTCTAGATGACTATCCATGAATTTTGGAGATATTTTGATTGGCATTCACAGATTTTGAAAATATGGTACAATCAACAAGATAAAAAACAATTTTTACAAACCTTTTTTCATGCCATTCGATCCGGTCCCCGGTAAGGATCAATAGTCTTTAAGGGACCAACTGAGGTAAGAGTACTCTAAATGTGAGAAATCGCAAAAAACTTTTTGTCTCAGCACGACAGAACGTCGTGCTAGTCGCGATCGCGCTGCTGTTGGCTGTACGTGAAAAAGGAATACGCAAATTAACAGATCGTTTTATGGCTAATTATAAGTACCTCTTAAAACCTTCATCTTCCGTATGAAACTGAGTTCACTTGTAGTTACGACACTGCTGTTCATAGTTTACGCGCGCTCTAATTTGAATGAAGATCTGCTTATACAATTGGGAGTATGCCTAAAATTAAAAAGAATTAAATGTCTCGACGAACATAACGGCGCTTAATAATTATTTCAAGTATATACTCTTTTTACATAACATAGCACTATAATAATTATGAGTCAAAATTGTCATGACTGACTGACCATGGGACTTGTAAAGGGCCCGATCATCGGTTTGTTTGAAAAAACAAGTGAGGCAAAAGTGGAGTATCCTACATTTAACTACTTTTTCTACAACTTTACTTTAAATGATTCTAAAGTATATAATTATTTTATAAATAAATAATAATAATAAATATTGACATGAAATTTGGATACACCGCCTGGTGGAAAGCGACACGCCTGTCCCTAACATTTGCAGTGCCACTCAGAGCTTTAAATCACAAAGATCTGAGGGGCACTGCCACTATGCCCGCCACCCTGAGACGTAAGTTGACAAGTCCCATGTGCCTGCAATTACTCCAGCGTCCTTACCCTTCGAAACCGGAAGGCAGTATATTCACATTACTGTTTGGCGGCAGAAATAGGTAAGGTGGCAGTATTTCTCTGGACGAGCTCTTTCACAAGATCCGAAAAAATAGTTTCATTTCCATTGTATAACAATCGCGAAAACCTAAGTATTCGATAAATAAATATTATTTTTAAATTTCTTTTTCATTCTTTTTCTCCTTATTGAATGGCAATGTCATACTTAAACCCACAAAGTACAATATCATTGCTTAAACCCTTCTTACAATGAATGAAGTGTCAAGAATACATCCATAATTGTGGCGCAAATAAAAGTACTTTTATGTATCTATTTTTTTTATTTATGTTAATAACAAATTAGAAATTATTATCTACTATTAAAGTGAATTATGAATAACAAACAAAATCAGATCAATTTTGTACTAAAAGACAATAACAAATAAGTCAACAATCGTACTAACACAAATAATATAAACATAAAAAACATTCAATAAATATCCAACAACACAGACAAAGATATATAACAGTATAAAACGAGTAGTTATTATTGGAGATATTATATCTGATAACTCGGATTTTGTTCGTGGTCAAGAAATAAGATATGGCGGTATACATTTTAAATCATCTTAAAAACTATAGTAAAAAAAGTACAATAATACATGTATTATATGTGTATGGACCAAAAACAATTTTTTTGGGGTTTGCTAGCTTTTATCCGTTGACCCTTAAGTGTGACGATAATGGGAATATAATTTTCTTTCTAGAATTTTAAATTTTATATAAATCCGGTAAAATAGTTTCATTTCCTATGTGTAACAATCGCGAAAACCTAAGAACTCGATATTTTAAATTTTTTTACTATTATCTCCTATTTTAGCCGTGTTGAAGTAGACGACGTGAACTGTATGAAATTGAAGTGAAGAAACCAAAGAAATGAGCACAAATATGGATGAAACACAAATTATATAATTCACGACACAGCGATAATCGAAACATCAGAAAAACAATACACAAAAACATGACAGCAAGAATAGAAAAATAATATAAAGCAAGGTATTCGCGACACATTGTTATTCAGTTTAGTTAGCATGGACCTTTTTGTAGTATCTCTTATTATGATCACATGTAGAAAAAATTATATGACATGTAGTACTTCTGGTTGTAAAGGGAATATGGTTGTAAAGGGATTTATTAATTAGAGAAGTTTTTAAAACAAAGCCAATTTCAAAATCATTTATAGTTTTTTTTTATTAATTTAGAAGTTGACATTTTTAATACCTACTTTATAATTTTTTACTTTAATAGCTCACAAGTTGTTTTTTTTTTGACAATATTTGATTAGAATTACGATTTATTTAGAATGGCAGTTCATTATTGAATACAACAAAATTTATTTTGTGCTTTTAAAACCACAAAAGTTATTACGATATAAAGACGAGATTTCGTGTAATTAAATAAAAATCATATTTTTATTACCTACCTACCGTGATAACTAGGATACGATGTCAGCGAGTAATAGCTAGCAAATGACTCCCCCAACCTCAAAAACTTTTGTCGATCCATCTGCATAACATCTTGAACTTATACATGTACATATGTCTTTTAGTAATTATATATTTTTTAAAGTTCTGATTGATGGGGATGATACCAATTCCATATTGTAGCAATTGCGGAGTCATTAAGGACGTTTACCACGTATTGATGGAATGTGTTCAGATGGAGAGACTCGGGAGGCAAATTTTGATAAAAAAAAAGATTCTTATCAAACTTTAGATTCACCTGCAGGCAATAAATATGCAAATTGATACTAGGCAATAACAAAATAGGTACATTCAACTTTGTTCTGGACAATAATTATCATAATAACCGTTAACACAATGCTAGACCATATTAAATGCATAAAACAATAACCGTTTATTATTACTTTATCTCGTATCCACGTAATTACGTAATGTGTTTGTTTTCGAGATGGGTTGAATTGGTGCTTGATAGCTATCGCCCTGGCGACAGAGATGACCGTTTAGTCATGCTAAAGTCCCATGTTCGGTTCTAATCAAAGAAATTGAAGACACTTGAATCAATAAAATTCTTCAGATTAAACAGAAAACAGTTTCATAAAGATTTAGTATGATTACAGGTTTATATGTGTAAACATGAATCATGTATCTGGTACTCGTCAGTCAATTAATACAGACTTGTTTATTGAATTAACTTTCGACCTTGTCTTTCATAAGGACGTCAACGGTACGCCAAGGTCTATCTTTCCCCACATTCATTCGCTCTATAAAATTGTACTAGTATCCTTTCCATACACGTAGCCCCCGGGTGCAATCGATATCCTGGCGCCCTCTAGCAAACACGCGACCAAAATGGAATGCTTAAGCGTGAAACACACAGAGAGCGGGTGAGGGTCGGGCGCACGCGCCCGCGAGCACTGTGTTGTCGTCCATATATGTATATATATCTACGACTAATTCGATTGATTGGCAGCGTTTCCTTTTTTATTCTAGTCACTACTAAACTATAACACCACAACACTCTCTTATTTGTTCTCTTTCACTATCCTTCATTCTATCATTTATGCTCTGGCCACACAAAGGCGGTAGCGTTCCGTGGCCGGGAATTTTTGTAATGGACGCGTTCTTGTGCACCCTGCCACATTGAAGCCAGATGACGAGGCGCTATGACGAACAGGCACGGGTAGGCCCCGGGGTGAACTCGGGCCGGATGCAGGAACAAAGCTGTATTCCATTGAGTTCTATGCAACCGTCCACACAGAGCAGCAACGGCGGGGCGCAGTTCGGAAGGGGCTTTAGCGGTATAGCACGTTGTACTTTTTTTTAATTATGTTTTTATTAAGATTCAGTATGAATTCAACCGAAATTTCTTTTGCGTTGCTTCCGTAAAGTAAATAAAAGCAGAATATTTTCTTGAATACTATCCGACAGCGATATAAAGCTTTCTTAAAATCTAAGTAGAAAATTAAATGTGGTTGCTTTTAAGTGTCACACCGGCCGCCTTCGCGCCGCTGTCCCGCCGCGAACTACGCGTGGGATTGCCGTGTGGCACGCCCCGGTACGCATTCTATTCCCGCAGGTCCGCCACGTACCGCTTTTCCCGCTGTACCGCGTCTGTGCTGCCTGAGCTTTAGAATTTTTCACTCCCAATTCTACAGTGTTCACCCTATTCTCATGCTTCTTGCGCTAAACTTATTTGTACAACTTATAACCCTTTTTCGAATACTAAATTAGTCCTGATGAAAAGGAAAAATAGTCGCTTTTTACAGCATTGTAAATACCCCTGCAACCCAACATAATAGAATTTTAACGTTTACGTAAAACTGTTAAAATTTACATTTGATTATAAAAGAATTTTAGGTTATGAGACAACGGAGAACCATCATGATCCTATTAATACAAGTCCTGAACTTAGAATAGGTTATAACGGTTTCAATCGAAATTCACAAATTGTATGTACAATCCTAATAATTTTTGAATTTCTGTAGATCAATTAGCTTGTACATATACTTTCATTTCTTAAATAAATGATTATTATTATTAAAAATTACAATTTATTTAGTTAAGTAGCGAGTTGACTTGCAAAAAGGGCAAAAGTTGAAAACCTCGTTGTGACGACGAATCGCATCGTATTTGTACGCGAATTAAATGAGAAGTATCCCCTCCCGCACCCCGTCAACTTTACTTGCCAAGCAAGTGGACGACCCATAATCAGTCCATTTTAGTTTAACACACGAAAGACATCTAGACTAAAACTTATAACTAAACTCGTATACTCGTATTATTTTGTTTGAACAGTACTTGCTACATACTCGATCGAATATTTAACTGGCAAGTTTACTTGCAACTCAGCTAATAGAAGAATAAATCGACAGACCACCTATCATATTTTGTACTTGAGAACTAACGTTATCACTGAGTAATTTTACTTTACATAAAAACAGATAAATTATTGTAATAATTCGTAAAAAAGTTTAAGTACAAAATTATAATGCATGTTACTTTATCACACTATTAAAGACGTAGTTGTTTTTCGTGGAAAGTCAATTATTATACTAATCTAAAGACTTAGCACAGCGGAATCCGAGATTCACTGCAGAACTATCCAGCGTATTTTTAGTACGGGCCGAACATCTATACCGGTAGCAGTAAGAAATGTGGCACAAAAAGGAACCTCCTTTTTTCACTTTTTCTTCAGACTGAAACAAGCAAAATATTAAGGATTATTAGTATTTAAAATAATCTTAGAGCGGTTACATAAGGCGACTTTTAGCAGCGATGCTAACGCAACGCAGTAGCGATGCAGTCGCTAATCGTCTACCATTACACACGCGCGCGATTTCATCGATATAAACGCGCGATTCCACCGCTACACTTGGGATTATAGGTGATTGCATCGATGCAATCGCGCGTTGGTATCGATGCAGTCACGCGTTTGCATCGATGCAATCGCCTATATATAAATCGTATAAAAGTCACCGTGTGTAACCACTCTAAATGACATAGTTTTGCAGGATCATTAAGTATAACTAAAGTATTACAATAGGAAGCCAAAGTCTTTAAAGTAAATTCACACAGGCAGATGGGTGCTACTGCATGAAAATGTTACTTAATAATTCAATCTACCTACACATCACTGCTCTAACGGTGCTTTTCCACTAGCGAGGCGAGACGAGACAAGACAAGTATTGAAATTTGTATGGCAAAATTTCAATTCTCTTCTAGCGCATCTTCGGTGGAAATGGTCTAGATTAACGAGGATGGGCGAGGCGATAATTTAAATATCTGTTAATGTAATATTGACTGTATACATAGAGTGTTATATTCTGCAACGGAAACACGATTTCGACGCAAGAGCTCGTGATGGCTATTAATATCAATTGCAAGATTGTAAGGTACGATTTAAGATTTAAAAAAAAATGGCTTAATCTGATTCTTCTTCTGTTAATATATTTAATAATGATAAGTTACTTCAACCGCGTGTTTATTGCTAGACAAACTGAGTCTCTTCTCGCCGGTGGAAAACTACCTTTACAGTTTATGTCGAACTACCTGTGCAGTAATGAGAGTTTGTAGGTCTATTATTATTCTTATTATTAGTGAGGCTTCGTCAGAGCATATACAGACCTTTAACACTGCAACCACTAACTGATCTACTATAATCACCATTAATTTGACAATCTCGGTGGCCTAAGGGGTTATACTGTGACCACTGGATGAGGAGGTCCCGAGTTCGAGACCAAATTGGAAAATGAACTTTTTAAATTTGTTCTGATCTGGGTGTTAGCGAATTCCGTTGCTCTGGTACACATAGTACAAGAAATTCCCTAGTTTGAGACCAGGCAAATGGTGTGGTTGTCTTGCACATTATTATTATTATTATTGATTATATTTCAGAGCCAAGGCCAAAAGCATTGAAGAGCTGAAGGATTTTCCTGGCTTCAAAAGTTTTTATGTCCTCTAGTGACGGCCTGTGCCTTTCCAGTATGGAGTTTCGTACATCCTCAGATAACAAAACATAGCAGATGGACCATTCGCAACAAACGATGTGAAGCCGCTTTTCATTCATAGTGTTTGTAACAACTATGAGTCGTTGTAGGGGCATGCGCATTTGTGTGCGTGTAAGATTGGCAGATGCAGCGAAAAGACTTCCGCATTTTTTTCTGTTGCTTTCTATAATACTAATGTTAGACTGGAAATGTTATTTTGCAATATGGTAATTAAATGGTATTAGGAATCAAACAAATTATATACAATGTAAGTTAATATTTATTTATTTATTTATTTATTTAGTTGTTATTATTTGATTTATTTTATTTGCAAACAATGTAGGTACAAAGATTAATAAGTACCTACATACCCCTTTGGGGTGCAACAATTAATTATTGTTAAAGATAAAAATAATGATAATAATTAGGAACAAATACATATATCATTTTATAATTCATATTAATAGACTTTAGACAATTAAATACTCTTAAAATTACATATCAGAAACTGAACTATTTGGGCGTATAGGAGAGTTTATGGGAGAAGTCTCCCACACTGTAGTAACATCCATTTAACAAGAGAGACTTCAGTTTGGTTTTAAACGTGTTGTAACTTTCTACTTGAATTCTACTACTAACTCGTCTGGTACTTTATTATAAAGTAATATGCATCTATAGAGTGGGCTATTTCTAAACATTTCCAATTTTGGAGTTGGTAATATTAGGGGTTAAAGTATGAAATTGCAGTTTTATTGCAATAGGTTCTTTGAATTTTCATAGAATCTTCATGGTTTGAGGTTTTCGAATGAAACTTTTTTCAAATGGTTTCTGTGATTTTTTTTTTTTTTAATTTGAAACATTTGAATATCGACTTTCAATTGTTTTTGTTATTCAATTTAGACAAGAAAGATGGATACTGCGAAAATTCGAGTGATTTTTGAATACGAGTTCCGACGCGGAACTAACGCGGCAGAAACAGCCCGCAATATCAATGCTGCGTTTGGAGAGGGGTCTACTAATGAACGCACCGTGCGATTTTGGTTTAAACGCTTTCGTGATGGAAATTTCGACTTAAAGAACGAGCCACGAGGAAGACCGCCCACACAGGTGAATAACGATGAATTAAGAGAGATAGTGGAAGCGGATCCTAGTCAAACTACCCAGGAATTAGCGGCATGGTTTAACGTTACCTTACCCACAATATTGACTCACTTGCGTCAAATCAATAAAATAAAAAAATACGAAAAATGGGTGCCTCATGATTTGACTGATCTGCAGAAAGAAACGCGTGTTGAAACTTGTGTTGCCTTGTTGAACCGGTACAGAAATGAAGGAATATTGGATCGAATTGTAACATGTGATGAAAAGTGGATTCTTTATGATAACCGGAAAAGAAAAATGCAATGGCTGACCCCAGGTCAAATGCCACAACAGTGTCCTAAAGCAAAACTTACCAATAAAAAGGTAATGGTAACTGTTTGGTGGTCTCAGCATGGTGTTATTCACTATAGTTTTCTCCGATCTGGTCAAGCAATAACGGCAGATGTCTATTGTGCCGAACTCCGAACCATGTTGACAAAACTAGCAGTAAAACAGCCCCGACTCATGAATCGATCTTCACCGTTATTGCTCCACGACAACGCGAGACCTCACACAGCACGAGAAACCATTTTGACCCTTCAGGAACTGCAGTTAGAAACCATTCGTCATCCTCCGTATTCACCAGACCTTGCTCCAACGGACTACCATTTTTTTCGTGATTTGGACAATTATCTACGTGACAAGAAGTTTTCTTCCCAGGAGGCAGTACAAAATGCTTTCACACAGTTTGTGCAGTCTAGATCGTCGGAGTTCTATCGCAAAGGCATTAATAACCTTCCCATTAGATGGCAGCAATGTATAGATAATAATGGCAACTATTTTGATTAAATAAATTTGTTAAAAATTTAAAAAATAAACAATTTAGATTTTCAGTACAAATCGGCAATTTCATACTTTAACCCCTATTACGAGCTTTGTGTTTCGGCGTGTGCTTTCTACGAATTTAAAAAGGACTAAATGTTGTCTTACAAAAATGGCAGCTTCCAAGATGTATATAAACGGAAGAGTCAACATTTTTTCGTTTATAAAATGTGGCCTACATGTATCTTTTGGGCGTATATTGTTTATGATGCGTAGGTAGTTCTTTTGGATGATAAAAAGATCGTTGCTTCGGTGCTATGGCCCCACATAATGACGCCGTAGCGTAGCCACGCATATGCATAGTATGCGGATAGTGCATATTCGCGTTTGGTGTTGGCTTTTAGAACGGTTAGTGCGTAAATAAACTTGGACAATTTAGATTTGGTCATTTCGGTATGGTATTTCCAATTTAAATGTGAATCCAATGTTATATCCCAATAGTGTAAAATGTGTTGTTTCTTCTATATTGAGACTATTTGCAATTTTATTCAAATCTGATTATTGGTTTTGATGTGGTCGAAATTGAATTATTTTGGCTTTTTTTAATTTTTTAATTTATTTCTAGATTGTGTTTCAGAAGCCAGTGTTTCACAATATTAAAAGAATTGTTAATTTTGGTAATACTATTGTGGTATATGTTTTTACATTTACATAATAAAGATACATCATCGGCAAACATTACAAATAATGTGTTTGAAACTTTAGTTAGGTCATTGATGTGGGCTAAAAACAGGATACATCCGCTAACTTGTGGGATGGAGTAGTTAGTTGTGACTATTTCTGTCAGTACATTCCTCAGCTCGCCGGTGTTATCATCAAGGTGGTCTACTTGGACGCATTGCTTACGGTTGGATAGATAGGATTTCATCCATTTAAGAGCATCGCCCCTTACGCCTACTCCGTGCAGCTTATTGAGTAGGATTGAATGTGAAACTCTGTCATATGCTTTCGACATGTCGAGAAAAAATTCCGATTGCACAGTGTTTGCCATTGATGTAGGTTAGAATCTCTTGTACATATTTGAGTACTGCCCGAGACGTAGATCGCTTCTTCCTAAACCATTGTTGATTGTCATTGAATATGCTATATTATTCTAAGAAATTGTACATTCGGTAAGCCATAGTTTTTTCAAATAGTTTAGATAAAACAGGAAGAAGCGCCATAGGCCTGTATTGGCTACAGTCATCAGTTTTGGTGCCTTTTTTTGGTTTAATTTCAGCTATTTTTAATTTGTCAGAAAAAGTGCCTTCAATAAAAGATTGATTTATCAGAAATATTAAGAGATTTTCATACAAAGAAAAAATATTTTATTAAGATATTTTAAAATTGAAAACCTTTAATAATTCAAATGTTGAAAATGTTGAAGCTCGCGATCTCTATGCGAGAATAGCAGTATCTCGCTTTATGTCGCTCTCGCTCAAGTCGCGCTCTATCGTGCTAGCCCTACTGTAAAATTTAAAATTGTATTACAATCACAGTTACACAATATCTTAATAACCCTTATATAGTACGCGTATTTATAATACTACTGTTTCATGTCTATACATCGAGCATTCGTTTCTCGAACTTATTGATATGTAGTGCAATCACACCATCAAATATTATTCTAGTATTATTTTTTTAATTAAATTAACTTTGTAATCAATGCCATAGCACAATCATCTTCGATCGACAATCGTCTTCTAATTAGACAAAAATTGTTTGATTCCCAATGAAACTCTTTAGAACCTGTGAAGTTATGTAATACATTATAATATTTTTTTTATTTTATTGACACGTTTTCTTTCAAAATCATTCTGTTTATGACACGTGCACACAACAATGATAGTTCTCTGTATCTAAAGGGCAACATTTTCTTTTGTGTACATAAAGGCTATTAGACATAGGTTTGAGAATAATTTAGGTAAATCCGAGTACCTAAAAAACAATTATTGACCACTATAAATGGATCAGCCTGTATGTATATGCATGCATTATTTTATTTCTATATAAAAGTATAAATTCACCCTATCACCCATGCATATGTACAGTCAAGAGCACATCAAGCTTGACACTGTACTTTGGACCTTTCTTATCGTAAGCGGCATATAGTTGGATTTAAATCTTAAGTGTGAAGCTTGATGTGCTCTTGACCCTGTACCTAATTTAAGGAAACGTATTTCGATATAAACTGGCAACACATACTAATTTATAGCGAGGTTTTGTGTTCCGAGTGAATATCAAAAAATATTGGGTAAAAAATTATAAAACACTTAATTAATTAGCCTGTGAAAAGATATTCCATCACATTTTTTCCGTTTTTGGGAACGACAAAATGGCATTTTTAAACATAAAATATCTAATCACTCATGACGTACAAACAATGCGACGATTTACTTAGTATTGACGCGAGTTTGTATTCGCTTTTGAATATGTATTTGCTTTGGTGGCTTCACTTTCGTGTTCGACGCACTTTATCTGCCTATGTTTTGTAATCTGAGCGTACACCCATCAAGAAGTAAATTGTAGGTCTAGCTATAATAATAATAATAACGCTCACAATCAACATAGTCCCGCACTAGGGAAACCCTGGGTCGCGGGTGCCATGGACACACACATAGACAACCACAAATTACACCCAAACTCACGAGAGAAATAAATGTAGGCCATACAAATATTTCTCCCGGCCCGGGAATCGAACCTGGGACCTCTGCGTGGCAGTCCGGCATGGTAACCGTTCGGCCACGGAGGCAGTTAAACGTTAAAGCTAGACACAATACCTAGAATAATATATCATTGTTTACCTTTGTGTTTGGCCAAGGATCCTCAGTCCACTCCCAAACATTGCCAACCATATTATAAAGACCAAAACCATTTGGTGGGAAACTCATCACAGGATTTGTGCCTATATACCCATCTTTTGCTGAATTGTAATTGGGAAATGTTCCTTGCCATATGTTTGCCCTGTAACAATTATTGTTGTCAACAACAATACATAATATTAAAATTGAGTTTCTTTTTATTTTAATTCCTGTAAAATTTAAAATATTCATTGTATACAAACAAAACTATTACTTTTTTATCTAACTCGCATATTTCTACAATAAAAAAAACCAATGCTTTTCCCTTTTAACAAGTCCCATGGTAATAGCTGACTGTGAGAATAAAGTCATGAACCAGCTTTGCCTATAGTCGTCACCAAATAAGAGGCCACATTTGACAGCTAAAGAAGGCGATAGGATGTAACTATGAATGCGATCAACGAAACAATAAACAAACAATTATTAGCATAATTGAGTTTAAAAATATATATAAATTTTAATGCAACATTATATGTATAATATGACAAAACATATTTGAAGTACTGCTTTCGCACGAATTACAATATAAAATGCAATTTTGAGTTACCCCGAAACGCCCTGAAAACAGTTACGTCCTAAAGCTATTTTTTTTAAATAATAGTGTTGTAAGCATTAATGGCCGAATTTCACGGAGTCACTTCGATTTCTCGGAAAAAATATTGCTTATTAAATATTAAAACAAAAATGTATAAACATATGTGTATTTTAAATAATTATGTATATGTATAACATCTCAGACCACACCTATTGCAAATAAATTTATAATTTATCAAATTTATAAAAGCCCTGTACTCCTAGCCAGATTTGTGTTCCCTTTTCTTTTTTGCAAATTTTGAATTGTCAACACTGATACCAATCCAGCGGCACCCGGAGTCCACGCCCGCGCACCGCGCAGTCTTTCACCCTCTTGGAAGTTGACTGTGCGCTTGGTATTTTTTATGTATTTTTCTTGTGACTCGGCTTTGCTTTTGGGCTGTTTCTGTTTTCTAAATTATGAACATTATTTGAGATTGTTTGAGGTTGACATCGACAACTTTTAACTAATTGCCAACCGAATAATTGAAAATTTATGAAATCCTTGGTTTCTTGGTAATTTAATGTTTTTATGTAGTTGTTTTATCGATGAACATACTTATTTACACTAAAATCTCGTAATAAACCATTTATGAATATTATCAAATCAAAATTAAAAGAATTGGATACAATTCATCGGAATGTGGGACAATTTTACGAAAGTGAGTGGAATTGCTACAGAATTTTAAGGAATTCTGTAAAAGAATTGCTTTTAACAGAATTGCACGATTTGGTCGTTTCAGGAGGCCAGAACGAGAATGAACCGAAACAAAATCTAAACAATTACAAACTCTTAAAATTTTGAATCGATTTCTCGTGAAAATCGTATAATGTGATTACCGATATGATTAGTCCACATCCCTATTCGCGTCACGATGACAAGTGTCAAATGTGGTGACGACTATAATATTAATGCAAACTGGATTTGTGCCTGATCGGTCCTTAGCGGGAGCGATCCTAGTTAGTTCAATCGGTCAACTGAACTAGGTCGGTCTTCTAGTTCATTTAGTTCATCTCGTTCCTTAGTTAGTTCGTCTTGTCCTTGCTCGGACATTGAACGAACGCTCCAAACTAGTAATTTTATTCACATGAACTACTACGGACTCGTATTATGAGGTCAATAGTACACTGTACTAAATACTTAAAAATACAATTTGTATGGAATGGGTGCTATTTTATTTTCCTTCATATTTTACAGTTTAAAGACTGTCATTCTAATTAAACATCCTTTTTTTTATAAAATAAGAATTTTAGTTCGAATGGTGTGTTTTAAAATCAATATTTAGGTACAACTATGTCATATACTGGTACACGTAGGTTGATATTGTACATACAGATACCTACCAAAAATATATTACTTTTTTGCAAGATTATATATGTACATAATGCAGATACGTATTAGAGACTTAGAATGAGCTGAAAATGTTCAACTGTGCATTTCACTCAAACTTGTACTGAAAGTAGTGAAAGATCGCGCTCACACTGTTACTACTGCATAAAAGACAGATGAACTATCAACGCAGACAGTTCCTAGTTCGTACTGAACTAAAAGGAACGAACTACTAAAACCGTGCAAGACGAACTAGTTCATGTCGGTCAGTGTAGGAAATATATTCCTAGTTCGTTAATAGCTCGTAGTTCATGAACTATACAAGTCTAATGCAAACCTCCTTATTTTGAACTATAGATACAAAAGTTATAATTGAAATACCTTATTTTTTTATTACCGAAGACTAATCCATACATCTACATACATTATACAAAATATTTCATTTTAACCATATAATTTTTTTTATTAAAGATCTAGATCTGAAAATAGTTTCATTTCCAAAGTGACATCCAAAAATATTCATGTTAATACAAGATAAAGCACTTAAGTAGAAATTAACACTCACATGTATTTTTTATCTGGAAATAGTTTATTTCCCCAAGGGTAAATAGTGTCATAGAGGCCACCACGGCAAGCTCCCTCCCATTCGGCCTCGGTTGGCAACCGGGCATCACGCCATGCACAATACGTGAGGGCGTCTCTCCATGACACATGCACCACTGGGTGGTCCATCAGATCTGCTAAAACAAATAAATATAAAAACGTGTCCATGCCATTTTATAATTATTGTACAATACAAAAATACTCTTTATCAGTTTGTCAGTAATTTGCCTTTATTTTTAGCCTGTTTTGAGCATCCACATACAGTTGTTAGATGTGTTCCCTAATGATTTTGATACTGTAGCAACCTAGAGTCACACTGTGTCTAACGTGCTGACTGCTGGCTAGTTGGGTTTTAATCCACCATTTAAAAAATAAAAGAACTTTGAACATTTAAACAAAAATCTTACCAAAATTGTTATGTACACATGTATGTCAGGTCAGTAGGATGTGTAACAGGTTAAGTACAATTCACAATTAGAACTAAATCGATGTGGCATGCAATAACATGTGTAGAGATGGGAAAAACTGCTTATTTTTTTAACATTTAAATGTTGTAGCTTTTTTAAAAAAGCATGCTTTTTAGATGCTTTTCACATAAATGCTTTTTAGTTTGAAGCTTACAAAATCATTTAGATAAATAGTGTGTTGATAGCGAAAAGCAAAAGTAGACCAACAAAGGTTTTAAGTTAAATAACTTTATTTGTAAAACACAGGGTTTATTTTTATTTATAAAATTATTATTCACACTGAAAAATTAATTTGTTTAGGAAACATAAATTAAAACTTAGGCATGTTGCAAAAAAAATTACTGTTGAATGTAGAACTGACCAACGCTTACGCTTAAAATAATAAGCTTACTTAAATGCTTATTTTAAAAAGCAAACTTTTTTATGAATAGTAATAAATGCACACCTCTAATCATGTCCACAGAGAGACTTGTATTTGCCTAGGGTAGACATGTAAGTTTGATACTATATTGATTACATAGAAAACAATTACCAGATATATTTGAGTCTGGTCCGTGTGGATGCATCCAATCAGTACCATTTACGCTGTACCACCAAAGAGCTGCTACAGCTCGGTAATTCTTTAAAGTTTCCCTAAAAGTACTGTTAAGAAACATCTGAAATACGAAACTTTCACCAAAAGTCTCTGCCTCAGTCTTGTAATTAGTTGCTGCTACAAAGCGGCTAAATTCTCTGTTTGATACTTCGTATTTGTCCAAATAGAAACTTTTTAACTCTACCATTCTTTTTGGACCCTCATTATCAGTTTCGATAATGACATCGTCTGTGCCGACCTGGTAAATTCCTGCTGGAATAAGCACCATGTCTTCTACTCCTCTCCCATAGTTATAATATAAAGGACACTGATTTTTATTATTTTTCTGTATTGAATTAAGAAATTCTGCCCTCTGAAATCCTTCTTTTCGAACGCGATTTATTTTACCGCACCCACAGCCACTCTCTTTATTCAAACTGCTCACACATTGTGTTATAAATAAAGTCACAAGCATCCAAATCATTTTTGGCAAAACAAAACCCTCTTAATTTAATGATAATTGAAAACAAACGAAAAATATTTGTTATTATCAATTCTACTCCAAGAACAATCCAAATTCCAAGTGACGTACTTATTACGTTTACTATCTGTCCGTCTGTCAGGTGATTTAGTGAAGGGATGCAGCCAAGAACTTTACTTATCGGCTAATTCATCATCATCCATCTTTATATAAAACCTGTCGATAGCAATCATTCAATCAAAAACCATTATCAACAACGTACTTTTTAATTTGTAAAATTTTTATTTGTAATTGTAAAAAATGATGATAGTGCAGAGGTAGGTATATAGGACAAGAGCACAAGGACTAGATACGTGTAAGTAACAGTGTTGGGTGTTAATTAATTAAATTTCAATCTGGGTTCCCAAAAAGTTTTCTAAAATATGCAGCAAACACTTTGAGGAAAAATGCTTTTCCTTTAGAAGTAAGCAAAGAGTAAAGCTACGTTCTGGTTCTGTACCCGCATTATTCATGCCGATATGTCTTACAATTAATGGATTTTTGTGTAGTACTACTCTCGTCAACAACAAATCGCCAATTCTGTTCTGTTCCGAAATACGATACTCATTCATATAGAATCACTTGTGTGTCCATCTGTCCGTCTGTCACAGCCAATTTGCTCCAAACCTACTGGACTGATTATTTTGAAATTTGGTACACATATGCTTTTGTGTGACCAAAACGTGTAACGTAAATAAATTAATTCTGAATTTGAAGTCACTATTGAGAGGGAAAGTTCTCAACTAGACATTTTTGTAATTTTGAAATATAAAAATTTTAAGTTGTTTAAGAAAATAGACGAAAAAAGGATCATTCTCCCCTTTATCTTCGAAACTACTGAGCCTAAAGTTTTGATAAAATACAGAAATTGTCTTTAAATCTCTCACTATTGTGCGAATAAACCTATATTTGCTGTTGGAATCTATTGGAGAACATATTCTTCAACTACAATGTTAAGTTTGTACGGAAACCTCTCCGCGCGAGTTCAACTCGCACTTGGGCGATTTTTTGGTTCTATTACTTATCTGCAAATTCACTGCAGTGATGCACTTCTATGTCATCATATCATACAATAATTATAATAGTTATAATTGTTTGTAGGTTACATTGAAGCCAAGACGCAAGGTATCTTCATATGTGTACAGAGATATATCGCCAGTACCCAGTAGCTCCATAGCATACGATCTCGAACAAGATACATCCCCGAGGAAGAAAAAATGAAGAAAACTATTGATCTTCTTAACAGGCGCCTAGATACGAAAAGAAAAAACCTGAAAAACGTAAGGGCACAAAAAAACGGGCTATGGCGAAAGTGGTAAAATTGAGTGAAGTGATAAAAAATCTAGAAAGACTTCCATCGTCGCCATGCAGGCTAGTCTCTGGAATTTGTCCAGCTTGTCGGTTGCGGTCGTCAGCTTGGTTCGTGGACACCATACTATCGCGCCGTAACTGATCATGGGTCTTATCACCGTTTTGTAGAGCCATAGTGTTATCTTGGGTGAAAGTCCACATTGTTTACCTACCATCCTATGGCACTGCCAGAAAGTGGTATTAGCTTTCTTAATTTTGTATTTAATCATTAAGTTATTAGTTAATTAACGTCTCGGCGTTTTGCGATAAGACATTTTGGTGAATACGACGAAGTGAAATGCCGGTGTAATATGTTAATCGATATTAAAGTTAAATCAGTGGATGGCGCAACACTATTTATCTTGCAACGTGCACATTACACGTACACAGATATATTTTTGTTTTGGTCTCGTCTCCAATACTTCAGGGCCAATCTAATGGACATCACAGTTTAATATAACTTTTACGGGAATGTAATGTGATATCACATTACTTTTCGAGGTACAGTTTTACGCACGTCTACTTATGACCGTTCTTGACACAAGCAGCATAGAGCTAAATTTAAATCTTAATAAATAACCTACAGCTCACTTCTACAAACGCCAATTTTAAAGCAATGTAAGGGCGCGTTTCGATTATGTCGTAACGTTTTATTTATCATTGGACGACTATTGTTCCCATATCACGGCTACCTGTCGTGACTGTCGTGGACGTTAATTTTATCGCTGAACGACTGTCATGTGTAGCTGCTCCCACCAGATCGTGACAATTTACGCGACAGAATTATTTAAAACGGCGATTATCTGTCGTCACATTTTTATCGTGACGTTTTATTTATCGTCCTTTTATTTACTGTCGTTCTAGCTCTTCCCATTGTCACGACAGTCTGTCGTCGTAACATCAAAAAAGTCGTGAACGACACTTAATCATGTTGCACACGCCAGCACATAAAGCTACACATTGACGTATCTTGTTCCGTTGCACTGGAGACGATTTTCGAACAAAAATGTGTAGTCTGATGTGCCGTTGTCCGTACATAAATAGGTATCAGAAAAACTTATATGTAGATACCATTATTAATAATTTAATTTCATAATTAACCCCATTACATGAAAATTGAAAAATAAAATTATATAATTTTTAGCTATATTTATGACTAAGAGTTTTAAATTTAATTAAAATTGCTATTTACTTAAACATACGTTTATAAACAATGGCAATGATTTCGATATTCTAAAGGACCCGGAAAATTGAAATTCGACTCACGCTACTCCGACAATATGTTACATCGACATCATATTACTCAGACATTACGTTACTCCGACATTACTTTACTCTGACACTACTGTACTCCGGCAATATGTTATATCGACATGATTTTACTCAGACACTATGCTACTTCGACAACACAGACGAGATGTTTCTTAAAAAATCTTTGTACTCAGACATGAAAAATCATTACAAACCCACGTAGGAAATGGTTTCTTATATCGTTCAATATTACATTATATAATCCGAAATTTGTTTTATTAAAATACAGAATGTTTTTTTTAATGGGACAGTATGGAGAAATCCGAAACCATGGAAGATACGTGAGGCGCACCATAAGTTTCCAGAATGAATAAGAAAATAATACTATAAATGGTCAGAAATGAATTTATTGTTTCTCAAATTATTCTCCGTTAATGCACTTTTTCATACGAATGAACCAATTTTGAAAACATTTATGCCAATCCTCCGTGACAATCTCTGAAACATATTTTTCATACTCTTCGACAACCTCTTCAGGTGATGAAAATCGTTGACCGCGTAACTGGTTCTTAATTTTTGGAAATGAATAAAAGTCACAAGGTGCCAGGTCGGGACTGTACGCGAGATGGCTCATAAGGTCAACGTTGGTTACCTTCAAAAATTCATTTGTCTGTCTAGCCATGTGAGAACTGACATTATCGTGGTGCAAGATGATACGGCGTTTATGGTTATTTTTACGGAGTTTACCAATAACTTCCGACAAACAAATGGTCGTATACCAAACACTATTCACGGTACAACGATTCTCCAAAGCAACAGTAGCCACGTGTTCAGTTCTATTAAAAAAAAGAAGTAATCATCGGTTTAGAGGCACTTTGCACGCGCGCCACTTTGGTTGGTTTCGGCTCATCTCAAAAGACCCATACGCTCCACAATGTAAAAACAAGTGATAGTCAGCTGAAACAAACTGTATTCTACAGCCAAAGAGTTCCATTTTCAAATGTTGTAATTACTTTTTGAATATTGTTTATGTAAGTGGCCAGTTCCGGAAACTTATAGTGCACCCTATGTACGTACAAGGAAACTATCTTAGGAATCATACAGTCGTCTCTTTTTGTGAAAACAATTTAAACCTACCCTCAAAATGTAAAAGTGCTGCGTGGATTATCGGTAATAATGTAGTATATTATTATAAAATTTTACCATATTATAACCAACGCCATTGCGTTGATTCGAATTTAAATAAATACCGTCTTTTGTTTTCAAAAACTTAATCGCAGTAAACAGAAAAAACATAAATTATTATTTTCGGGACGGAAGAAAATTTGAAACTGCTTTTCGAAGAAGAATTTTGGATAATGGAGTGGACTTTTGAAATTTCCTTGTATCTTCTATGGTTTCGGATTTCCCTATACTGTCCCATTTTAAAAAAAACACTCTGTATTTTAACTAAATAAATTTCTGATTATACATATAATGTTGTCCTCTTTTTGTTATATTGATCTATATAAGAACTCATATCCTACGTGGGTTTGTAATGATGATTTTCCGTATCTCAGTACATAGATTTTTTTTAAGAAACATCTCGTCTGTGTTGTCGAAGTGGCGTAGTGTCTGAGTAAAATCATGTCGATGTAACATATTGTCGGCGTAGCGTGTGTCGAAGTTCAATTTTAGAGTCATTCTAAAGTGTTTATTTTTATGTCAACTACATTCATAATTTACGGCTAGAGATATATCTAAATAACGTTCCTGCGTGCACAATCACATTTACCATAGCTCACAATATTGCGTGGTGCACATAGCGTGTACCTCAGATTATAAAACAATTTGTAATCTAAGGCGTGTACGTATTGTTCTCAAAATTGCAACAGTGAAAAATTTCAAAGGCGCGCTATATTAAATGCTGAATTTCGTATAGGTTTCATATAAATAAATAACAAACTCGGTAAATACGCAGTCAGCGAATCCAACATACTGAAAAATTTGATTTTTAGTAGCAGTAGAGCTCCTTGTGAGTTCGTCCAGAGAAGTACTGCCACCATATATTATCTGCCGCCACACACGAACGCAGTAATGTGAGCATTACTGCGTTCCGGTTTGAAGGGTACGGTTACTGGTGAAATTACAGGCACAGGGGACTTGTCCTTATGTCTCAGAGTGACGGGCGTAGTCGGAGTGCCCCTCAGATCTTTGCGATTTAAAGCTGAATGGCACTGTAACTGTCATGGATAGGCGTGTCGCTTTCCACCAGCTTAAAATACGACTTATTCGCCTCGTCATTTGGTATCATAAAAAAGAAATATTTTTTTTTAATTTAAAGATCTTTGGAGCGACAAATAAACGAGCGCGTTGTGTTGTGCGCGCGGCCACACACACCTCGGCCCAATTTGTCTTCAGCCTATTAGTTCAGAGATTTGGCACAACGAAATCCTTTATTCACTCCTGACGTATCTAGTGTGTGTCTCGTACGGGCTGAACACCTGTATCGGAAGCAGTAAGAATGATGACACAGGAAGGAACCGCCTTTAAACACTTTTTCTCCTTGCTGTAATGTAACAAAAACGAATTACAGTTATAAAAAAATACCACATTACTTAAACATTAAAAGACTATACATGTTTAGAGGTTTTGAGCTCTGATCCTGACCTTACATAACCACTCGCAGATAATTATATCGAATAGACATGTGCGCCACACTCCCACTATCTACGATTTTTTCCTGCTTCCATATCTGACGAATAAGACCGATGCGCGGCGTAAACACAACGTACCGAAAATTTATTTTATTTGAATGAAGTACTTAGTTAACAGATTTTTTTGATAATTATTTAATAACTTTCTATCAGTACAATATTTCCGTACAAATAATATAAAATTAAATACGTTCCTGTCGACGTAGGTACGTCATATTTCGACTAGAATGAAAAATTGTGAGCGTTTATTGTTATGGTTTTTTTTGCATACATTCTTTATGTTAGAAACTTACATATCTGTTATAATAACAGTGGTCTAAAACGCGTTGAAAATGAATTTAAAAAATTTAAACAATTTTTTAATGTGTACTGTTTAAGTGTTTTTTTAAACAACTGTAAAACATGCCACGTATAAAAAAAAAATAAAATAAAATAGGCTTCAGGCAAAATACATAAATTTCAAACAAAAAGAATTATAAAGATAAATTCAAGTTAACATAAAAAAATAAAAAAGCTTGTCAAAAGGGTTCTTGACTCAGCATCTGAGGACTATGCTAATTAGGTAGCCCTCGCTGTTATTCTGATATAACCCGTCTTAAATTGGAACACCACAATTCAAATATATGTCACAAAAGTCATAATTAAAATAATTGTAAACGTTTAGTAGGCACTAAGTTAATAAAATTAGGCACAAGCATTAGATTAGACAAAAAAAAACAATCAATTTGAGTAATAAATAAGTAGTACGTTTCGGGCCCTTTACAGGTCCCATGGTCACGGTGGACCATGGGACCTGTAAAGGGCCCGAAAGGTCGGTTTGTTTGAAAAAACAAATATACGCGATTTAAATCCGGAAAAATAGTTTCATTTCCTATGTGTAACAATCGCGAAAACCTAAGAACTCGATAATAAATAAGTAATTTAAATAGCATAATACCAAACATACATATCAAATAATTGTAGACAATTAGGCACTTAGTAAATAATAGTCGAATTTACGCCGATCACATCAAAAAACCCTCATATACCACCGTCGACGATTTTAAGATTGACGCAGCACATATCATTCTAATACCAACAAAATATGGTTATTTATTATTAAATAATGACAGGCATGATAAGGAATTAAGAATTAAGAAGCGTAACTGTGATTGTCAAGACGATAGATAACAAATCAGATAGTAAGCATTGATACTTTAATAATATCGGTTAGGGAAACGAAAAAGGCTAAATTTTGCTAATAGAATAGAAAAGATTTATTGCCACGCCATAACACAAAAATACACCTGATAATTAAAAATTAAAGTAAAACAAAACAAACACGAAGCAAATTTATAAAATTTCAAACAATCCACACAAATTGAAATATCGTCACGTGTGCGGCTGTGGCGTACGTAAAAGGATCTACCTACATACCACACGCTAATACCACAGCAGAGAGCTGTGACGCAGGATTTCGGTTGAACCTAAACTATGTATAATTTTAAACTTCGATTTCAAATAGGAACAAATTTAAGCCTTGCAAATTTGAAGTAACTAGGTACATGCAGGTACAGGGTCAACACACATCAAGCTTGACACTTTTTTTTTTGACACTCAAGATTTAAATTCCAGTCTAGGATGTTTACGATGTTTATACTAAGAACGGTTCAAAGTTTAAATTGTCAAACTTGATGTACTCTTGACAGACTAATCTAATAAAGTGAAATTGACAAGCTGAAAACAGATTACTTTATTTTCAAAATGTAGATTGTATCTTACCTTACTTTCAGACCAACTGTCCTCAGTCCACTCCCAGGCATTACCTATCATATTGTACAAACCAAACTCATTCGGTGGAAAATTCCACACTGGATTTGTACCAATATATCCATCCTTTTCTGAATTGTAAGTCGGAAAAGATCCCTGCCAGTTGTTAGCCCTAAAAATGTCCATTCAATCAACCAAAAAATTACTTGTAATTTAAATTGATATGATGTTTGATATTCAATTATTTTTTGTTAAATTACTCCACTAGTTTGTTATAATATAAATAATATTAATAAGTACAAATGTCGAACACTTAGAAAAAAATCCTTCGATCGGGCTGGATTTGAACCAACGTCGTCCAGCAAACCGTGCCAGACTTTATGCCAACTAAGCCACAGAACAAACCAGCGGACCCCACGAACTTTTTTCTATGTGCTTGTTACAGATCTTTGTTTTGATTTTTTTTAACGACTTTTTTGCCTTAGCACCATCTAAACAACACTTATACCAATTTATCTTTGATGTAGTACTAACATGGACCTATTACCAGGGAAGAGTTCATTTCCCCAGGGGTAAGTGATGTCATAATGACCAGCACGGCAAGCTCCTTCCCATTCACCTTCGGTGGGGAGTCGAGCACCACGCCACGCACAAAACGCCCGAGCATCTCTCCAGGACACGTGTACTACTGGATGATCCATGGTATCTGCAAAATAAAATGCTACATCTGTACCAACGTAATCAAAAACCAAGCACCCAGTTAAATGACGCGTAAGTTTTCGCGCGGTCGCCGCCCGGCGACCGCCCAGTTACCACGCTTTACTATACATTAATGACGAATCTGAATTCTATTTTCTAGGCAACAATATTTAAATTCCTCTGAATAATACAACTGCGCGGTCCTGCCCGGCCGCCGTGTAGGCCAAATTCAAGCCAGTCTCGCCCGCGCGCCTGTGACGCTCATTTAAGTTAAGACGTAAAAGTTAAAACAATAGAGCGTGTTTTGCCATGACAGTTAGATTTACGCGGTCGCTGCGCGGCGGCCGGCCGCGAGGGGTGTGCGCGATGACATTCGTGTCGAATAAATGCACCCTAACAGTTCTTATAAAATTTTACATAGCGAATATAAAACATTGTAACTAATCTTGTAACAAATTGACATACGCCAGCACATCAAGCTACACATTGTCGTATCTTATTCCGTTGCACTGGAGGTGTTTTTCGAACAAAAATGTGTAGTCTGATGTGCCGTTGTCCGTATGTAATAGATGTATAATATTTTATACCTGATATAGTTGAATCCGGTCCGTATGGATGCCTCCAATTTGTGCCCTTTACTTTATACCACCAAGGATGCGTTAACAGGCGGTTTTTTTTCAATTTCTCCTTAAACGTTGTGTTGAGAAATATGTGAAAAACATCACTTTCTCCAACAACTTCTGCAGTAGTCCTGTAATTCGTTGCTGCTACAAAACGGCTAAATTCTTCGTTTGATACCTCGTGTTTATCCAAATAAAAACTGCTCACTGCTATCAATCTTTTTGGACCTTCCTTGTCACTTGCCATAATTACGTTGTCCGTGCCGACCTGGTAAATTCCTGCTGGAATACGTACCATGTCCTTTAATCCTCTTCGTATGTCTTCCTCCTCTTCCTCACTTACCTGTATATCCTCAGAATTTGCAGAAAAATTATTTTCATGACTATCTTGATTTGTATTGACTACATTTTCGGACCGTCTGTCACGAGAGATTCTATCACAACGGCAATCTTCTTGAATAAAACTTTGTATTAGAAACATGAACAGAAATGACAAATTCATATTTACGTTACTTAATGAATGTAAGTGTAAAAAAGGAAAAATAGCAAGCTATCTCCATAAGTATGTAGTTAGTAAGTGACGACAAAACTGCACAAAATTGCATTAAAACTTTTATTAGTGATGGACAGTCGATAACGGTTATTGGCGAACATCGAAAATTATTATTATCATCATCAACTATAATAAAAACCAAGCTCTTTTAATAAGCAGATCAAAATAAATTTTTCAACTGCGTCAATTTCTTGTTTTTTGTATAATTGGTTCCTCATTAATTGTTGAACCAACAAATTCTGTATTCTGTGTATTCTGTATTCTGGCGCGACGGCAGCGGCAGGCGTCGCGGCGCGGTCCCAAACATATCGGTAACCATGTTCACTACACTAACATTCATAGTTTTTAAAACCCGTCCCAAATTAATCTGCTTTGTTATTGTCGTTAGAATGTGTAAAAGAAATATAATTTATGCATTTTTTACCGCCCTCCTCTCTACATTTACACAAACAATTCTTAACTGAGCACTAATTATATACATAATTTTGTAGTTTTCGTTACTTCATTATTAGAATTTGGGCGACTTAAAACCCTGCAGCAATGACTACGAGCGATCTGCAGCTTGATTTTCATTGCCTCTTCCAATCGGAAACTGCGTCTTTTCCGAATCGAGGCGTATAATATTGCGGTGGGCTACCCGATCGATCGATTCCGATTTGAATTAAAATCAGGGCCCTGGTCTTCGCTCTTTCGTAATCAGATATTGCCTTTTTTGTCATCATCTAAGGCTTACTTGTACTACCTTACTTAATCTTAGTTGTTTGGGAATTCTATACCTATTCTTCAAGGCCCCCTTTCTCTAGCCAACATGTACAGTACACCTAATTGACTACTGCTTATGTGATTTTGTAATGAGATACAACTGAGAACTTTACAAACCATCGAACTCACCTTACCTTATTCTTTGGTTCCATTTAGTTGAAAGTGTATAGATGGGTAACAAAATTCTATTATTGTCATTCTAACAACGAAGTTTTGCTTCATTTTATTTTTTATTAGGATACCTAGAGACACTTATAAACTTTCGCATTGCATTGTAACATTTCATGATGGGAATAAATCTGCCTGCCCGTGACCACGCCCAGTGCAAACTTGACCGAAACGTAGCCGTCGGGTTGGTAGGTGTGAAAATACCTGTTAATTGTTTTTCGCGTTTATTTCTGTTTTGTATATTATAATAATCTTAATCTATTTGCGTACCCATTTTGGACATGTTTGACGTTAAGACCGAACTTAAAGTAAAAAAGTTGAATGTCAACCATACTCGATGATATCAACCAATGCTGTTGGTTGATAGGATAAGATTTGAAGTAGTGATGAACGGAACAGAAACGGAAATATATTCAAAAGTAAATCTTAGCGGAAACAGAGACGTAAATAGATTAAAAATCTCCACGAAATAGTTCCAACACGAAACTACTAAAAAATGCGATTTTTAGCAGTTTAATGGTACCACCTAAGCAATCTGCGCGCGCATCTGGATCCGTCGCAAACGTAAACTTCCAATTAAAGTTATGTTATAAAAGTTGCGGAAGCAGAAACGGAAATAAATGTGGTCGGAGGTCTGTTGCATCACTAATTTAAAGTTAACTCTATGATGCTTGCCGAAAGGTCCGTAAGTGTCAAGCTTGATGCTCTTGACTGCACAAAACATTTCTTTTTAAATTAGTGAGAGAGAAATATTTCAATTACAAACATTGACTTATTACAAAGTTCTATTTTTGAAATTATTAGATACTTGCAAGTTTACTAGCAAGTTATCAAGTTAAAACTAAAAGTAATCCACCAGTCGCTGATTACTCTTCTCATAACCGTCGGCGTCGCAATTAGTATAACCTTATAAGTAACTAACGGAAGGCAATGAAACAAGGTTTGCAAACATTAACGAAATATTGTGTATTATTATTTTAAATTTCTTGTAAGCATGCATCTGTAAATTTGATCCTACTATACCTAATTGTAAAAAAATACTTAGGTATGTTGCAAAAAAACCAACAATAAACATTCAAAATGACCTAAATAATTAACAATAAAAAATTAAAACATTCGTCGATGGCGTTTTGTAAGAGATACATATTGTAGCGAAATACACACACCTTTAGCAGAACTCTAGTAAAATCCTCAAAATATTGCAGTGTTTTTCATGTCTGGTCGGCCATTTTACTTTTTATTTTAGGTTTATTTTGAAAATAAATATTACTCGACAGTCATTTTTTTTCATTGATTTATTTTAATTTCCCAGCAATAACGGTTTTTTTAAATAGAAAACTTACTATGAGACTCGGACTTAGCTAAACTACAAATAGCTCACGTATTAAAGTCGATTTTTTTCTACGGCCGGATTCGAAACATGTCGAGCAAAAAATTCGATTTAAATACGTGAGATTTATTTATTTATTTATTCAAAGAAACATACAGCTTACATATTACATAAATGTTTTGTTTACCTATTAAATATTAAATTTAGCCAAATTTTGTTTCCAATGATAGATAATTCACAAAGGCCGAAAGCACTTAATCTACTACACAATGACAAAATTTTGTAAACAATGGCCTAACCAAATGACAAAGCTCTAAACAAGTATTAAAAAATTGAGACAATTATTGCAGAAAAGAAATAATTACTTAATTTATTAACTAAAATCTACTTTTTTAACATTTGACAAAAACAATTTAGTTTACAGGTAAATATATGATGTGGTGGTAACGATCATTATAAGATTTACATGCTCTGATTAGAAACCTATTCCCAGCGTAGTTAGTACTGCAAATAGGTACGAAAAACAATGTTGTGTTGGAGCGAGAATTAACCCTAGGACAATTGAATGAAATACGACTCATTAAGAAAGGAGAATCAACGATGCCATTTATATATGATATATTTATATACGATATCCGGTAGTTTAGTTCACACATATACAGATTTGTATGTTTTACTACCATGGTAGTCGATTTTTTTTTTGTGAAATACTCCACTAGTTTCTTACACTACAAATCGTCGAGTGCGTCGAGGTTGATTTTGCGTTGCCAATTTCGTAAACTTTAGTTGAAAAAGTTTTATGAATTAAAATTTGATTTAATCAAATTTAAACTGTTACAATCCTAACAGTAATATTTTTCAGCTGTTTCTACTTCGTTACAAAATCTAAAAAATGCATTTCATTTAATTTAGATTTTTTTTATATAAGGGTCGTTGGTCCTGGCTGAAAATTTTAAGCGTCGAGAAACTTTGGCATATACTGAGTCAGCGCCCTTTCATTTGCTATGACAATAATGTTATGTTTTTACTTTTGTGTTTAATGTATATTTTGTGTCATATTAGGAATAAAATGTTAAAGTGTCTAACTCTAATTTATTTATACATAAACAATACCATTTTACATTTTCACTTTTTAGTTCTGCTAAATGTACCGGTGATGTGGACACTTAGGTATTCGTTTACGCAATTAATGATTATGATTATTACAATGACTGTAAACACAATGCTCTACCATGATGAATGAACAAATCAATAACCCATTCATAATTTCCTAATTAGAAAACTCTTATCTCAAAAAGCCTACGCGTCCAACTCAATTTAATTATGATAGTAATAAAATAAAATAGGTAAGTTATATAATTATCATTATATACTATTCATAGATTTAGCACAACGAAATCCCATATTTACTCCTGTAGTTTCTGGCGAGGCACTAGTACGGGCTGAACATCTATATCTATAGCAGTAAGAATGATGACACAGGAATGAACCACCTTTAATCACTTTCTCTATTGGCTGCAACAAATATAAACAATTACATTTTGTTTAATAGGTAATAGATAATAGGCTTACGCGATCGAACTCCTAGCTGGAATATTAAAATGTCTATAACATTTTGCATTGCAAGGTTTTACTGATCTACCAGTAACTTACGTTTTAAGCAGCAGTTGAAGTCCTTTTTTAAGAGTTCGTCCAGGGAAATAATGCCACCTTACTTATTTCTCCCGCCAAGCAGTAATGTGAACATTACTGTGTTCCGGTTTTGAAGGGTAAGGGTGCTGGTGAAATTACACGCACATGGGATCTATCAACTTATGTCTCAGGATAACAGGCAAAGTGACAGTGTCCCTCAGATCGTTACAATTTAAAGCTCTGAGTGACACTGTAACAGCTATGGACAGGCGTGTCGCTTACTACCAGGCGCACGACTTGATCGGCCTGTCACTTGGTATCATAAAAATAAACTTAAATTCTGAAATTGAAACTTGTAAAACTCCAACAACCTCGCAGGGCTACATTACAAATATCATAATTAACAACGTTCCCTGATTTTTTTAGAAACATAATCAATTTACCAAAAACAAACTTAAGTTCTTGTTGTATACAATAGTGTTACTATGGCGTTAGCAATACCAAACACAGACCTAAAAAGTGTAATATTTTATACCAAACACAGACCTAAAAAGTGTAATATTTTACAATAAACACAGACCTAAAAAGTGTAATATTTTACACTTTTTAGGTCTGTGTTTGGTTTTAAGGTAGGAAGTTCAATCATGCTGCAAGCGTCATTTTTGTTACTGTACAGAGTTATTACCGTGTCATCAACAACTTATTCATACATGCCACTGCGGGGAACGGGCTCCACTCAAGCGAGGATTTAAGGCCATAGTCCGCCACGCTGGCCTAATGCGAGTTGGGGGACTTCACACGTTTTCTAAGAGGATGAAACTTCTTCGTGTAGGTTTCATCACGTTGTTTTCGTTCACCGAAAAAGCTCATGGTAAATTTCAAACTAAATTTCACTCTTAAATTCTAAAAAACTCAAGAGGTGCGAGCCCGAATTCCATCCCACGTCCTCTGTTTGAGAAACGGTAGGTCAAAACATTAGCCTACCACGACTTCACAATACCGTTTAGAGCGATCGATTTCAATATTCTTATTTTTGTATTAAAGTAAAATCTGATGAATTATTAAGTCATAAAGTTGTTGTTTATGATGTTAGTAGTATAGTCCTCTGAGGATTTTAGTAGATATTTTACAAATAACATTAAAGATAATAGATATTACTAGTTAGAAGTAGGTTATCGTTCATTTGAATGCCTGAAAATTTATTTTTAACAACACATGGAAACACACCCCAGTTTCTGACCAATTATCTTCAGTCCATTCCCACACGTTGGCAATCATGTTGTACAGACCAAACTCATTCGGAGGAAAAGCCCATACGGGACACGAACCAGTAAATCCATCTCTTTCTGAATTATAAGTCGGAAAAGAACCCTGCCAGTTGTTAGCCCTGCAAAATATTAATTAAATCAATGAAAACCTAAAGTCGTCGAAAAACCAAATACAAAGATCTGACAACAAGCACGTAGAAAAATTCGTGAGGTCCGCTGGTTCGTTCCGTGGGTTAGTAGGCGCATAGCGTCTGCCACGGTTTGCTAGCACGTCGGTTCGAATCCGGCCGTATCGAAGGATTTTTTTCTAAGTGTTCGATATTTGTACTTATTAATAATTAGGTATAACAAATTAGTGAAAGTTTATTGTTTCACCAATATATTATTGGTTTATTTATAATACTAACATGGTTCTATTGTTAGGGAAGAGTTTATTTCCCCAAGGATACGTGATATCATGGTGTCCAGCACGGCAAGCCCCCTCCCATTCAGCCTCAGTAGGAAGTCGAGCACCACGCCATGCACAGTATAAACGAGCATCTGTCCACGATACGTGCGCCACCGGGTGTTCCATTGTAGCTGTGAAAAAAATTGCTTAGAAGTCTAATATACATTAGACAGTTCAGATATTGCAACCTAGATAATGTTTAACAACTGCAATATACATTAGATACCTACTTATCTACGTATTTTGAATTCTAAGTTTACCTACCAAATATATCTGAATCTGGTCCATACGGTTGTCTCCAATTGGCACCTTTAACCTTGTACCACCAAGGTGCTTGAAAAGAGCGAGAGTCTTTTATCTTTTCTTTAAACGTATTATTGAGAAATACTTGAAATACACCACTATCACCAATATTTTCCGCGGTAGTCTTATAGTAGGTTGCTGCTACAAAACGGCTAAATTCTTCGTTTGATACTTCGTATTTATCCATATAGAAACTGTCCAATTCTACCAATCTTTTTGGACCTTCATCGTCGCTGTCCACAATTACGTCGTCTGTGCCGACTTGGTAAATTCCCGCTGGCACAATTACCATGTTTCTCACACCTCTTTTTATGTCCTCCTGCTCCTGCACGCTTAAAGGCCTCTGATTCCCTTGAGTAAAACTACCTACAAATTGTATCACCAACACAAATAAAACGGTCGTATAATGCATATTGTTTTTTAAGTTTCAAAATATAGGATCATTAATTCAAAATAAAGAGATGGAATAAATTACTAACATAAAATATAATGTGTAATTTGTTACAATAGAAACTATACAAAATTGCATTACAATTTGTATTATAGCAGAAAATACCTAGTGTATCGGAAATCGTGATTCAATATTATCGATACGATAGGATCAAAGCGATTGAAGTTTTGATTGTGAGCTCACTACTAGGTCATATCAGCGCAACTAGGGTCAAAAGGACCAATTTTATCTGTTATACGTTTAGTGCTCAAAACACATGCAAACTAAATTCAACATAACTATTTTTTATAACTTAGTAGGTAAAAATCAAAGTCATTGTATTATGACTATTACCATCTCAGCCGGGACCTGTAAAGAGCACGAAATGTTGGTTTGTTTAAAGAAACAAATATCCGCGATATTAGATCCGAAAATATAGTTTCATTTTCAATGTATTTTATACCTACATGGCGCTAATCGATATCGACTATTCCACTTACTCGTATCACGTTTACTCGTCTCTCCACACTATTTCTTATATTAAAGCAAATAAAGTGAATTGAATGAAACATTTAATCGGTATTTTTTTTGTTTATTTTTACTTGACTAGATTACCCAAATAGAAGTCGGTAAAAGAAGGAAAAAATCATGAAGTAAAATGTAAATTTTAATCCTTTCCTTATAAAAACTTTGTATAGAGGTTCAGGTGGAATCCTGAAAAAGGAAACTATAACGTGATATTTATTTTACAATATTCATCTACAGAGCCACAAATCTACCTAACTAACTAACATTGTTCTCGTATTGTGCTCCGTTGTAATCAGCTAAAAATAGGAAAGAACATACCACAATCATTCGGCTTCGGAAGGGTCACTATTGGTGGACGAACTCCAAGCAAAGGGGGGGCCAGTAGATAGGTAGACAGTATAATGAATTTTCACTCGGCTCCTCGCCTGGAAAAGCCGAATGAATGTGTTACGTTTTGAAATTTCAACTATAGTAGATTATAATTCTACGAAAACTGTAGACAAGCTAATAGTGACAGTTGCGTAAGCTAATAGGTACATAGTAAAATAATGATATGTGGTTAAGACAACATAAAGTAATAACTACATATTATATCAACAAATAAATATCTTTGACAAATTGACACTAAATTATTTCAACCTGTAAAAGTGCAATATTTTATTTTTATTTTCTTTTATGTCGGAGTCAACAAGTAGTACCGCGAAGATTTTGTGCACGTTTGGTAAGGTAATATTTTGATTTATCTGTTCGTATTCTAAGTGTTTTCTTGATTGGTTTTGTAATAGGGCTGACATGTATTAAAGGTAAAAAGTTTAAAAAAGTACAATATCAAGTAACCAACAAACTGTCACTTTTAACTTGCTAGGCGATCAGTGATTCACGTGTAGCAACACTTACACTAATAACGGTATTATATGTTCTTGTTTCATTTTTCCATAATATTTTGATATTCCGTCAACGTGGCCCATCCCCACCACTGCCAGAACACGGGGTTTTTTAACTGAAATAGTTTTATAGGTTAACTGAAAATCGAATAAAGCATTTTTCTCGTGCAAAATATTTACTGCAAAAGTAAATGTATGGAGCATAATCTCAGTACAGAGTACTAAAAAAACCGACCTCAAAAATCATTCATCCCCTAGTTTGCCACCTGTAGAGGTGGAATATTATTTTCAAATTTACCCTCGAGGTACCCTCTTCCCAACAAGAATCATCAAACTGGATTCACAAATTAGAGTTATCGCGTAACATACATACAAAAAAAAAACCAGTCGAATTGAAAACTAAAAAAACCAGTCGAATGAAAATGTATGTATTTTACAAATAACCCTGTACAAACTGGTATTGCGTAAACCTCCGTAAAGCTTCAAAGATTTAGACTCAAGTCACACTGACGCAGAGTCGAAGCGTCGCGATGCGTCATGTTTTTCGCCTATAGCATCTCTATTTTCCTTAATTTGTGTTTTGCAAATATAGAATCGAGTGTCGACGCGTGGTAGCATTCGAGCGGCTTCGCGCGCCGCCGCGCGTCACTTGGGCGCCTTCAGGCTTGGAGGCCTTCAGACGCCGCCCGACCACAGTGTGATCCCGGCGCACTAATTAGAGCGTCGTCGCGCGTCGCCAGGCGGTGTAGTTGAAAAACAGGACGTGACGCGACGCTTCGACTCTGCGCCAGTGTGAGTTGAGCCTTACGGTCTTTCCAAAGATTATCGATCAATATTAGACATTCAGTTATGTCCGTCTAATTATACCTACTTACCACTGCGAACACATTCTTGTATCGAATACGCAAGACATTTATCACGCTCGTCGACGAAGACATGAAATATTTTTTTAAACGCGGGCACGTCTCTCGTAATTTCTTCAAATTGCGCTTGCACAAAATCCTTATCCTTATACTTCTCTAGTTGATGCTTACTGCAGAATAAATATTACTATAATAATAAAAAGCTTTATGCGACGATCTATACTTTACCACGAGCTAAATGCTTAAAGAGTTCTGTCTGCAACGGCCAACGGAGGTCTGCCTAGAAAGGCAGACCTCGTCGTACCCGTTGCAGACTTTCATATTATAAAAAACTTGGACTTTTGGATTTCTTTTGACTACGTTTTTGTATCAATTGTAAGCAGTGTAGTGAAATGTGTTGACAATAACCTTTCTACAAGGCACCTTATTTAACATTGCGGCAATCTTACGTTTTTACTACAACGCTGTTTTTCAAGAATAGGCGACCTAAACCAAAATAGTTAATTTTTTTCTTATTACATAGCTGCATTCAGAGTAAGCTAAATATTATTGTGAAAAAAAAATACAAGAGCTTTTTATTGTTTAAAATAATCACGCGACAATATGGACCTGTATAAGATTTATCGGCTTTGCATTTTAGATATTCTGCAGTTGTTTCTAAACCATCTTCCTGAGCCTGATAGTCTAGAAAAAGCCATCGACAGGTCCAAAGTGCCTATTAATACAATGCAGCCGCCTTGCGTTTGCACGGCAGAATCGTTTGAAGCTGCGATTATGTCGTCACACTTTTATCGTGACATTTTATTTATCGTCTGACGACCGTCGTTCAAGCTCTTCCCATTGTCATGACAGTGTAGACTTAATGTCAAAAAAGTCGTGAACGACAGTTAATCGTATTGTTCTATGTGTGAACAACTTCATTTAAATGTACAAGCCGCGACACTTCAAACTGCACGACTAGGTATATGTCGTCACGACATACTGGGAACGCGCCCTTTCTTTCAATAGACACGCATATTTTGAAAAGAATCTTGATATTTTATGGATATCTTGTTTTGTTTTTTAGGAAAATGATACCATGTTTCAAGGAATGTAAAACTGGATAACTTCTAAAACATAATTACTTGCAACGCAATGTAAATTCTTCCAAGAAACTTCTAGACGCTAGTAGGTAAGCATGTGTCGTCTGATGCAATTTCACACACAAAGTGTATTGTAGTGAAACAATGTAGGTATACATAGCAATCAGTACGCTGGGCTTTACACGTAAAATTGTTATTAAAGTTTTCAAGGTTACTAAAAGTTATATTTACTTCCAAGAACTTTCAAAATTTCTGTACTGCAACTGATTGTATATAGTATAATCAAGTCGGATAATTTATAGTAACGTAGGTATTTTTGTTACCTATTCGTTATAGTTTGTTCAAGATTGACGAAACAGGAGCGAGGAAATTGGTAAGGGCAGACTAACACGAACTCGCTACGACCGAATTGAGGACGACCTAAAGAAAGGTCAATAGTACGCTTAAGAGTCGTGCATGTATAACAGCATTGATGCGTGTCGATGAGGTGACAGATGTATATCAGGATCACAGGACTTCCTATGATCCTGATAGACATCTGCCACCTCATCCATCATCATCACCATCCCTGCCTATCCCGGTGAAAATAAGACGTATGTACAGGGCCATTCGTAAAATACTAACAACCAAGCAGGACTATATTATCACCATCATAAGCTACAACAAACGGTAACGTAACGTAACGTAAAGGGTAACGTAAAGGGCTAAGGAGGTAAGCGTAAATACCCAGTCTGATGTAAAACGCAGGAGCGGGAGTGGAGGTCGTCGGAAATGACGATATTGCGCGTTTGAACATGCAATGTTACTAAATACATTACTATTAAAAAATATAGATCTAAAAAGTGTCCGATAGTGTAATAAAAACTTTAAAGCTTATTTTGGTAAATAAAAAGTTTTGTAAAAAATCAAGGAAGAAGAGTCGTTGTATAAGATGTTAGTACTATAGTACTTTTCACTAAAATTAAGTAATTTTGTATTGTACTAACCATAGCACGTAAGAAAAATTTACTGTATTACTAACATTATTATGGATCATGGTCCGAAATAAATAATTCTATTCTATTCTATTCTATAGTAACGCGAGGCTGTTATTATTTTACAAATGACCCTGTATATGTTAATTTCATAAAATCTTTCGAAATTATAAAAAAAACGACCTCAGTTCGTGTAAATACATCTATTTGACAAGATTTATTGAAATCGTTTACCGGAAAGAGCGCGAAACTCCGTCATCATTTTCTGCATGCTTTCATCGCCTAGTTTGCCGTCCTTAGAGGTTGAATATTTTATTCAAATTTAAATGAGACCAACACTGAGGTACCCTCTTTCCAACAAAAAAGAATCATCAAAATCGGTTCATAAACGCCGGAGTTATCGCGTAACGTGCATACAAAAAAAATATAGTCGAATTGAGAACCTCCTCCTTTCTTTAAAGTCGGTAAAAAATAAAATCAGCTTTTCATTACCGACCTAGTTCATAAATCGATAGTATAATAAAAGCTATAACGAAACTATCCTAAATACATTCTGTTGTAAGAGATTGGAATTGGAATGTTATCTTCTAGACCTAGGTGATCCTGGCACCCTTCAGCCGATAAGAACGTCTACATAAAAAAAAATACATACTCTAATGGTTTGGGGTTAGCCGTAGTGAGGTGATAAAGCACTTGGCCAAGTTCGTACACGCTTAGCGACTGAAAGGCTCGCGCTATAGTTATCTGAATTGGTCTATCACCAAGAAACAACTTGCAGCCTGGAATTTTCTTCATCTGAAAAATCAATTACGTTGTAGTATTAACAATTACCCGTCACAAAAAAAAACAAGATAGCAAATGCGAGTTTTTTACCTACAACCTATAGGTACAAATAAAATAATATAACAACCCTTCGCTCCAAGAAATTGAAGAAGAATTGTAGGCATATACGCCCCGAACAGAGAATTGCTCTACATGTCTTAGTATACTATGGTTCAAATGTGGAAGTAACTGTCAGCTAACTGTCCATACCTCATGGTACGCTCTACGAAATTCTCCACCTGGTGCCACACCCAGTTCTTTAGCGATGTCAGCATATGTCTTCAATAACATTGCATGGAGCATACCAGATACAAAATTCTGACCTTTAGCTGCCTCTCTGCTTAAAATTAAAAATTATTAACTTTCTGTGAATATACTAATGAGTACAAGTTTAATCAGCTATAGGTATACAAAAGCTAGTCGCACAATGATGTACTAAACCTCGTATGAATCAGAGTGTACTCTCGTTCTCCGTTCGAAACAATTACAGGCAAATTAAAAGACGTATGATGCGAATGAAGCTTCACACTCGACATTACTTGTTTTTCTAATATCAAGTGACGGGATGAACATGTCGTGCACCTGATGAAAAGCTACACGTCTGTCCATAACAATTGCATGCCACTCAGAACTTTAAATGGCAAAAATCTGAGCGGCACTGCCACTGCTCCCGTCACCCTGAGACATAAGTTGACACGTCTCATATGCCTGTAATTTCACAAACACCCTTCAAATCCGGAATGCAGTAATGCTGACATTACCGCTTGGCGGCAGAAATAGATAAGGTGGTAGTACTTCCCTGGACGAACTCTTTCACAAAGCGTTCTACTGCCAAAAAATTACTTATTTGACAGTAGGTGTTTCGAGCGAAGAACGGGATTAGACCCCCTGATGTGAAAGCAATGTTTTAAAAATGTCTGATGCATGCACAGGGCTTGATTACCTCTACCTAATAATATTTTATACGGATATAGGGTCATATCGAATGTGTATATTTTGAACCTGATTTGGTGGTTTAGAGAAGAATTTAGTTCTCTAAAAGTTCGCGACATCGAGAAGGTCCACAAAAAAGTAGTTACTTTTTAGTTGTAAAATTTTACCTTATATAATACATTTTATACGTGTGTAAACATATTATCAGCTATTAAAGGTAAGACATTTACTTGAATTTCCTGGCATCAAAATTTTTAGCATCTTCTAGAAATTGTTTGTCATCCAACTCCAACAGAGACACTCTTTGGCGACATAGCTCTACTAATATTGCATTTGGATTCAAATGTTTTACTATCTGTTGGTAAAAAAAGCTAGTCTCAAACACTATTTCCTTTAGGTTCAATTTATATTGCGGCGGAACGGAGTGGAAGCGAATTTTTGTAGCGATATTGTACATAGCATAATTAACTTTATGGTCAATTGTGTGACGCACAAACTAGATACCGAGCCAAAATCACCGCGTAATTCTCGCATCTAGTTTGTGCGTTACACAATTGACCATAAAGTTCATTATGTACAACATCGTTACAAAAATTCGCTTCCATTTTATTCCGCTGCAATATAAATTGGGCGTTATACTTTACACTCATTACTTAAGAAACAATCGAGAACAAAAGTATACACAAGGTTTCTACGACGGTAAAATAATAATAAAAAGTTTGTGTACGTATTTGTTATAGGTACATACAACAAATACACACTCTTGAAATAAATGTGAAGTCCCTAAGCCACATTGGTTCAGAGTGCCTAAATACTAATCACTCTCATCCTTGCATAAAAAAACGCCTACCTCTGAAACGTCTTCAATAGACTGTTTACTAAAATGTACTGTTCCTAATAGAACAACTTTAGCGTTCTTATCGTCTTGCAAGAAGGTAGCGGATTGTGGAACTGGAAAACTGCCTGAAAATCTTGATGTTACTGAAAACAAAACCATTAGATACAAGTTAAGGTATTGTGTGGTTATGTTTGAGAGCTTGTGGTGGAGCTAGGTGCAAAGCTGCCCCGAGTACCAGAAACAAAGCAACAGAGATTACGATAATATAAACAGTTTCACCACGATCGATCGAGTTGTAACCAGATCAAAGCTACGGGTACAGAATAGGCAACAATTATAAAGACCGTTATTATAATAAGCATGACATTTTTTCGTTCCATCACAGAGTAAATAATATACTATTTCCTTCGTGGTTCCATTAATAATATTGTAGGATTCGAATTGGAACTTACTTAGATTTAAATAATTTATATAGGTTTTGCCACAGACCCAGAACTACGCTTATCTCGTCTGTTTGAATTAATTGAGCGCTATTTTATAAAAAAAACATAGCTCTAGCTTTTATTAATAAGTGTAAATTATACAATTATTTACCTTCAAAGCTAGATTTAGGTATGCAATTAGATAGTAATGCGGTTTCATAAATAGTCTGTACTCTCAAAAATTGTCTGACAATGGTGCATGCTTGGAATCTCATATTATTACGTTATAAAATTGCTTCAAACAAGAATTTATTAATACTCTTATCGGACATTTTAATTACATTATATTGATGCTGGAAAAAAAATAAAAATTGTGAAAATGAAATTTTACTGTGACATTTTAATTTGATTGTAATGACAGAGAGATATTTTTCTTAAAAATGTTTTGAAATTTAGAACCAGTACTTAGTACAGATTTTATGTACGACGGCAGCACATCAAGCTGCACACTGACGGGCTTGTTCCGATGCACTCATCGAATATTTATTTTCCATCGTATAAGATCGAGTATAAAATTTCTGCATTGACCTACCAACAAATGGACGTCGGGTCTAATGGTGTATTTCCACCGGCGAGGCGAGACGAGACGAGGCGAGACGATTTTCAAAACTTGTATGGCAAAATATCAATTCTCTCCTAGCGCATTTTCGATGGAAATGGTTAGGATTGACGAGGATGGACGAGACGAAATTTGAAATATTTGTTGATGTAACATTGAACCGTATTGCTGCCTAAATAGACTCCTTAATAACTCTGCAACGGAAATACTATTCACGATGTCTCGTACAATATAGCGCGAGCTCGCTCGTCGCGCGAGATTGTGGAATACAGTCGCGTGCATTGAAATGTAAACGTTCACACATTTTCGAAATTATGTAAATATTAGATATTTCAAAAAATGTACCTTGTGCTGTTTCCAAAAATATGTTATCACGACACCCTTAAAAAGATATACTTTTATTTCAGAGAAAAATAAACAAATTACAGTCAATGAAAAATATATAGTCCTGCCCCCGTAGCATGGCTACGCATGATAGTGGCGACGCGCGCGATAAAATTGAAATAGGCACGCGCTTTTGGCTATCTAAATTATATCTGATTGAGACAGCCTATAGCGCGCGCTAATTCCAATTTTATCGTGAGTGTCGCGACTATCATGCGTAGCTATGCTACGGGGGCTGGTGTCATACGTGTATCCTGTAATGTACTCGTATGTATATCATTTTCGCAAATATTTATACAATGCATATTATATATTTATAATCGCATTAAAATGTACATGATTAGGATTGTGATTTTATCATAATTACGTAACCACATATAAAACATTGCATCGTTTTCAAAAGTATATATACACAATTTCCACTCCATAATGTCGTATGGTACCATTCTATGGGATGACTCTACTGATTCTGACAGGGTATTCATGATTAAAAAACGAGCAATGAGGATACTTGCCGAAGTAACACGAAGAGTCTCTTGTAGGGACTTATTTGTGCGACACAGGATAATGACAATGTATTCGTTGTATTTATATGGAATAATCACATTCATACGAAAAGACTTACACAATTTTAAAAGGCATGAAAGCCGTTATAACACTCGGTCCACAGGACGACTGAGGGTCGTGTCGCGACGGTTAGCATTCACTGAAAAAAATGCGCGCGTAATCGGCCCGACTTATTATGAGCACCTACCCGTTGACTTAAAAATTGAGCCTAATGTTTCATCACATTTGATCGTCGCCTGAAAGACTTTTTGTTGGATAATGCGTATTATTCCACTGAAGAATATAGGGACATGGTCTTGTAATATATGTTGTAATTTATAGATTATTAGGTACAAATATTATTTTACAGAAATGAATAAATAACATAAACTTAATTCATACAACCATTATATTGACATTATTATTATTATATTATTTAATATATTCCTACATTATTTCACATAACTACATTAACCATGTTAAAATTACGTAGTACAAAACTTGTACTGGATATTTGTATATAAAAGATTATACATATAAAAAAAAGTTACTTTCGAAAAAGTTCTTTTCATATTTATTTATTTATTTATTTTATCTTAGAGGATACAAATAGATAATGATTATTTCTTCGTATCTTTTTATTCTTCATCCGTTAACATATTTAATAACAAGAATTTGCGGGACTACTTTAGCCGCGTGTTTATGGCTTGACGAATTGAACAGCACTGTATCTTCACTATCCATAACCCTAGCGCGAAACAGGTCGGCGAGATTTCAATTCTCGCCCGCCTCCCCTCGTCTCGGCTCGCCGGTGGAAAAGCACTTTAATACAAAAACTACGAAAAGAATGTCCGAAGTTAACCTATATAGACGTGACATGTAACGAAATAAAAAAAACTAAAACATTTGATTTAAATTGTAACGCCATTGCAGAACTGCCTAATTTATTTATTTTTTTTTAATTTGCTTGCAACAATTCATGGTCCCAAAAACACCATATTCAGCTTCTACTGGAAAATTAACAAAATGCACCATATTTAGGTTCGACTGAAAATTACTTGAACACAAGAATAATGGAGCAGCCCTTATTGTAAATATTCATAAATTTTTATACATATTATAACGTCGAATTTTGTACAAATTCACTTAAAGAAATAATGAACATTTGGGCAGATACATACATACAAATATTACAAATGTGAGAATAAGCGTGTACTATAAGAAATGTACATTCCAACTAAACATAAATTCAAATATCCATAACTCCGCAAACCGATTTATAATAAAACCGTTACGCTTTCAAGTAATTTTGTTGCTTTTCACAAAGACAATTTTGTTTTTGTTTTGTAATAGTAATTACTCTTCTTTGTCGATTTGTTGTGTTGTGCTATAATTTTAGGTTTATAATGTTATAATATGATAGTTTTTAAGTTCATTCATGTGTGTCTGGGCGAACACAATAAAGTTTTCTTATTCTTAATATTCCTAAAAAAACATTTGACATTATGAAAATTCGAGCTAACGTTATTTCGGGCAAATGTATTTTCTGACTTCTGATGGTAATCCCACGCCGTAAAACGAGTACAACAATATTTTGTTAATTATCGCTAACATTTAATAAAAAATCATTTAAAACATAAGATCAAACTTGGCTCAAAAGTTGCACAATGATCAACTCATGAGAAACGCAAAAAACAAAGCAAAAACTTCTTAACAAATCATTAAAAAAGAAGAGAACTTAATGCGCTTAATAGGGACTAGTTTATAAAAGAAATCATTGTAAACAATACTATCATAAATGATCCTATCTATCTCTATAGCGAACGAATTTAATAATTATTTAATTAACTTAACAAATTCATATAAAAAAGTAACTAAAAACACGAACAAAAACATTTGGCAAATAGTATTTATTTACAGCCCGTGCAACCAAGGGAAATACAGAATATAGTAAGGTAATTGAGCAGTGTTGGGCAAAATTTAATTGTTCTGGTAATTAAAAACTGACAATTAATTAATTGTCAATTGCGAAACAGCAATTAACGATTGATCAATTGTTAGTTGCGACTCGCGTATATCTACAATTAACAATTAATCAATTTTCAATCTTTTCAATGTTTTTGATTAACAATTAAAACTGACAATTATGATAAATTTATAGGGCTAATGGGGCAGGGTTAGGGGCTGGGTTAGGGGGTCGGTCAGGGGGTCGATCAGGGGATCGGTTAGGGGGAGAGCTAAATGGGTGGGTTGGTTGGGTCAGGGGGTGCGTCGGGTCTGGGTTGGGGTGAGTTGGGGGGTGAGGGGTTAGGTCACTCACCCGCTCACCCACACCCTAACACACCCCCCAAACCCACCACCTAATCCATCCCCTAACCGACACTCAACCGACCCCCTAACCCATATTCATAATGACACTTATATTCGGTACTTTCGGTTTAAATTGTTAGTTTCAATTGTTTCTTAGAACAACTAAAAAAATTAATTGCAATTAAAATCACGTTTGCGACATATCGCAATTGATTTCATTGCAATTGATTTTAATTGCAATTGATTTCAATTGAATTGATTTTTTAATCTGGTTGAATTTCTGATTGAAATTTAATTGATTGACGCCCAACACTGATCGAGCAATACAATCTGAACAGGTACGATGACATATCTACCAAAGTTATAAAATATTGTGCTAATGAGCTAAGTGCGCCGCTTAAATATTTTGTTAATCTTTCGTTCGGAAATGGTACTTTTCTCGAAGTGCTTAAAATATCAATTGCTAAGCCTCTCCATAAAAAGGGCACGATAACCTTACTGACTGCTATGGCACTAAAAATAATAAATCGAAAAAATATTTCCTAAATTCTTATTTTTTTTATTTAATTGCGGTAACCATGCTTGATCCAAAGGCCATTGACTTGCAGTACACGTGCCACAGGTACCGGCAACCATTTGAACAATGACGTATGCGCAGAAAATATGCATTTTAGACCTATTTAGTGGTAGGGTACGGGTAAGGACGGGGGGAGTATCGTATTGAGCGCGTGATTGGTAGATCATCAGTCGACCTTGCGTATTGCGTCACGTTCCGCTGACACCGCGCATACGTTCTAGTTTCTCACGAAATGCAACATGGTTTGGTGTTTAAACAAGAGTTAGTGCAAAAAAAAACCGCTACCATGTTCACCAAACCCCGCATTACCATCAAGTGCGTTCTTATGGCACGATGGGAAACGTTTAGTTTATGCAGATTACGAGGGTCGAAGAATTGTGCGCAAAAATTGTCTCTGATTTCTTTCTGCTGTTTCTGTTGTGAAGAATGTACTAAGTTGAAACGAAACTTTGCATATATGTGGCTGGCTCTGGTACGAAGCCTGTCACCAGCTGTGTAGCTAGTTACTAGCACTACTCTCATATAACCTAAAGTTGGTAAGTACCAAATTTAAGTTACAAAAAATCTTTTTTCAGTCAACTTTTACTGACTTTTACTAACTAATGTAAATAATTAGTAAATTATAACAGTACTAGTACTTAAACATAATTTAAAAAATAGGCAAATAAGCGATCGAGAAAGATTACGTATCGCTCGGTGAAACGAGTGGCGGGGTCACTGTCCTCCGCGGTGAATACACTTGGGGACAATTTTACAAAATTTTACTAGATACAATTAGCCAGAATATTGGAACAGAATATATTTTTTAATAGTCATAACATTTTTAGATGATTTAGCATTATTTCTATTATTCATTTCTTAAATATGGCGAGAATGCAAATCAACACACTGTATAAAGATCGTATCGGAATCGTATCCTCCTCCTACCCAGGAGGAAGATACGATTGTACAGCAAAAATTGTGTAACAAAAAAGTGTATAGCTTGTTGTGCTGTTGATTGTACATACAAAACGAGATTAAATATTTTAGAACTAAAAGGGGAACTACATACTTAGGCGTCTAAGCATTTTAAATAATTCTTCAAAATAACAACACAGTTCGATTACTTATATTTATTAAATTCATGAAATATAATCACACTGAAAATCTCGACTCCCGAACCTTCGGAATTCCCATATTATTTTTAATTCTAATCTTAAATATTGAAACTGTTCTCTGAACACAAGTGACAATCAATTGATTTTATAAGCTTATTAAGCGATAATGAACGTAACAACGCCAAGTTTTTAATCCTATTCTTGGATATATTTAACATTGATTAAATAGTAGCAATTCTGAGCGCACTATTTCGAAACCTAATTTCAGAAATCTGAAGTAGAAAATCAAGAAAGAAGATGGCAATTATTATAAGTACAACGTTCACCTATAGTAACTAGTTCCTTCTATCAAGTAGCATCGACAGCGTTTCATACTTTCTATTCGAAATAGAAAGTAAAAATGCTAACTCCCACTTAAATTATGAATAACATTTCTTCTGAGATAAGATTTTTCGCACTTATAAAATATCTTTAAAGTACCTACTATTTATTGAAGGATGAAGATATGCAATGCAGTGAGAATAATAGTACAGCTAAAGGACAACCAACCACATAATCCCCATTACCGAGAAAAATACGTGATTTAAGCTAAACTAAATAGCATTTTACGTGCTATTTATTCATGACCGACGTTGCGCTTTAAACATAGAACATTTAGGTTTAGAAATGCACTTATTAGAATCGAAACCAACATAATATATTTACAATTACATTACACTTGATTGTAACTTACAGTAGTCCCTGGTAAAGAAGCACGACTGTGATAATTGTTTAGTTTTACCGTCTGCCAAGTTTTATACGCTACTGAAAATACTGGCGTTTAAGGCCTTGTTCAGAGCAGGAGCAAGAATTAAGCGGGAATCTTTGCTCTCTTTCGCACTCGTGCTACCTCATGCTACGCAGCACTTAGATTCGATGCCTTACTTTCTGAAACACGTATCTTACAAATAGTGATTATTCAGGTGATGGCAAAACTCTCTATTTATTTTAAATTTCTTATTAAGTGTCAATATGGATGCATTACTTTTAGAATAGGTAAAAGCCAGTGTGTGAATATGACGGAAATGTGATGTGAAATCAGCCTGCAAAATTTGTATATACAATCAATTTTCTGCATTTCAGTAACTTTGTGCTTTAAGTGTTTGAGAAAGTAAGGCGACGACGACGATATGATAATATGCAGCGCTAACCGCACGCTACACGAGGCCTACTGCTTGGAAGTTTGACATCAATAAATGGATGTATTTGTGTTACGCCGCAAAGTGGCATGAGTCTAAGACTCGTTTGTCTTTAACCGTAGTGTACGTCATACATACACGTAGGTTTACAATTCCATACCCATAACATAATCAAATTCACAATATTTTACATAAAGGGGCAGATTGTTATACTTAGTACACTGTGATATTTATTTGATTACAGATTGTAGCTAATATCAAAATCCCTCTGAGTATAGAAGGTTTTATTTATTAATCCCATCTGAAATTCGATCAAGACATTTGCTTCGATTGACGAAATTATTTTTACCTATGACAAGTGGATGGAAGGTATCGTTACAATTTCTTAATTTATCACAGTTCTTAAAAATTAACGGAACTAATATTTGATCCGTTCAACGTACCAAATAATTAATAATTCTATCATTAATGAAATAATTATAACTAGGTTAAGTCCAAGTCCTTAAAATACCTCGACTAATGTTGACTAAGGCACCGTCTGCTGAATGACAAGGGTGTCTGCTGGACGTGAAAAGAAATTCTTTATTTATAGAGCGTCGTAGCATGCTTACTTAACTGCTTGTGTTTCAATGAAGATAACCGTTGTATACGCCATAGATTTCATTTAAATGTTATGATATGATGTAATCTGTAGTGAGCAAGATACAAAAAATAAACCTGCGTTGGTGGACTTCTGTGGACATCGCCGCCAATCAGCAGACAACGTTAAAATTAGGGACACGCACACATACACAAAGTTTAGTGTTACCCAGTCTTAATTATAAAATGTACCTGAAATGCGAAATCAGCTTCGCTAGTCTTTCGTAATATTTAATTTTGATTACAATTATGGGCTGACAGAAAGGGGCAAAGTTATGCAAAAGAACAAGAACGGAAAGTGGTCAGAAATACACAAATATTTTTGCATATTTGACCCTTTTTGTCGACCTACGTACTTGTTCGACAGCGAATAAGATTTTAAAAGCTTACAAGAAGCTGACAAGAAGCTTTAGGCCCTGAAATGATAGCGACAAGTATGAACTTGTCAATATTCAAGTTAGAGAAAGAGGTAAATCCTTTGAAATTTCGCAAAATGGTAGACTTCCTAATCTCAATTGTCAGCATATAAATCGGATATCAGACTGCAGACTATAATTTACATTAATTAAGGGTAATTTTAATTAACTGTTATAAAACAAAAATATAATAATTAAGTAATCGATTTTTGTAATATTATGCATTGCAAGCAAACTTTAATTACTTTGTATCATTCTAATGGTTTGTGATAATTATATAAAGTGCGAAATGGTTTATGTCAATATGTTTCAAGCACACTTTTGGGCCATTGTTGTGAACTATGGCTAAAAATTTAGAAGAGATTCGATGTCGAGCGAAAGAACGCATATCGGTTAATACAGATATATTTACTTAGCGGAAACTAATTGAAGACTATAACAGTCTTTATAAATAGAGATCCTCTCTCTTTTGTGGAAGATAAAAAATGGCTTCGTCGTATGCCACGGAATAAAAGCAAACTTATTTCAGAGCCTATATTGGGGAAAAAAATATTTACTTCCTTATAAAGTAATAGAATAGTAACCTTAAAAAATAGGGTTTTTTATCCAACCACCTATTCGTTTTACTAAAACGCATTTGACAAGAACATAAAAAGTTTCATTTCTGCTATTAATGGATAATCTTTACGACTGATCTATAAAGAACAACACTGTTTATAAACTTGTCATAACCGTTGTAGTAATAGAAGTGTTATGCACAATACAAAAAGAAAGCCATAATCTGCCCGCAAACTATATTATGTACAGAGATAGTTCAAACTATGTATAAAAAAAACATAGATTTTTAGTTGCAACTACTATGAATTTCTAGAAACTAGAAAAAGTTCTATATTACAATTGCAGGCATTCCTAGTGTTAAAAATATACATGAAACTGAATTTCCTTGAATTAATTAATTAAATCTAAAACGTAAAGGTAAAAGTTCAAAACATCTTTGCACATTATAGTTTGCTAATAGGGGCAATAGTCAATAGCTACTCTGACATAGGTAGTTATGGTACCATAGTGAATTGAAAATGTTTGGTACGATACAAAATGCAAGAAACAAAAAGCGTGTGGGAAGAAAAATGTAAGAAGGGATTAAATTAAATTCATTCAATATGTCATTCACTCATTGCGAGGTCTATAAGTCTTCAATGCAAACATCTTCAGTGTCTTCAATTAATGTTCAAAAGGCATCCAAAATCTGCAACAGAAATATGCTTACAATAATATTTTCTAAAGCGAAAGTTTCGGAATAATTTTGTTTTAGGGAATTTAACGATTGCATTGCTAATTGCTTTCATAATTGATTTTCTCGTTTTTCACTTCTCTGCTAAATTAAGTTTACCTTCCAACTTTAGAAATAAGGATAATATTCAATTACGCAGATATTTATATTTGAATTGTCCCTTTGATCCACGTACGTAACTGTTTTTCATAACTAGTTACAAAAGAAGATTTTGAAGAAAGAGATTTCCTTCACTGTTTCGTAACCAGTTATTAAAGAGGAATATGCAATATATATTCAAAACTCCAGTTACGAAAACGGATGCAGATTTGTTCTTTCCATAACCAGTTACGAAAAAGGCTTACTTTTTTCTCTTTTTGTATCTAGAAAGTGGATGCTTATTTCCTTCTTTTCATAATTACTAAAATGCAAAAATCAAATAAAATTGTATAACTAGCAGGTTGTTGGAACGTGCTAGCATAAATCGTAGGTGTTTTATAGAAAACTTTATGTATATTACCATAAACGTTCCAACCAAATAGCGAGATGTTTTTCTTGGAAACCTTGTTGTAACTGCACTTAACTAATCGTTAACCACTAACAAAGTTAAATTTGAAGTGATGTTAATAAATTATACAGGGTTATTTGTAAAATACTAACAACCTCGCAGGACTATATTACTAACATCATAAACAACAACTTTTGTTCCATGACTTTTGATAATTCATCCGATTTTACGTTGGTACAAAAATAAAAGTGTTTAAATAGTACGGTGTAATCAGTGATAACTTTGTGCGGTAACAAAGAAAGCGCTGGCATAAATATCAGTCTGATGTAAAACGTAGAAGCACGGAGGCCGTTGTCGTTGGAAAGGATATGAACTTACTACCAAATCAGATGTAAAAGTGTCAGATAATACAAAAAAAAATTAAAAGTTTTTGGTAATGTCACAAAAGTGGTATCATGTTAGGAATATAGTCTTGCGATAGTCTACAATTAACCCTGTATAAGGACTTTAAGCCGTGCTATTATACAGCGTGTCCCAAAATTCAACGATAAGCGGGCGCTGGAGGGTGGACCTGCGCATAACTACTTGAGGAAAAATAAGAAAAAAAATCTATCTCATTTCTTTTTTCAATTACGATAAAAAAATTGTTATTCTTCGAAAATTTACTCCCTTAATGATATTTTGAATCACCACGACCATATTTTTTCAGATATTTCTGATGTTTTAATTTTAACGGCCACCTAAGTAGTACTGCTGTCTACCACAACTCTTAAAAACCCTAGAATGCCTGCAGTTTTACACAAAAATCCATCAAAATATTTTTTTTCCTTAAAATTTTGAAATATTTTTACCTTCAGTCGACTTTCACTCATCGTTTTGTAAAAAAAAAGTATGGACACCACTGCACTGTGATTCCCCCATAGGCCATAAATCAAAAAAAATCATTGGCTTATCCCGGTTAGATCAACTCACTAAGTTAGTAACTAGTTAACAAGCTTCCAAAAACTATAAATATCAATGTAATTAGGTCACGTTATCATTCACTTTTGTGCATCGGAAGTGAGCGCATCGCGAGACTAATTATCACCACGTGTGAGTCATCGAAACTTAATCACTTTGTTTTTGAGTGTCACTATTCCAAATCAAGTGTTTACGTGTTGTGAAAGCATGGAGATCCAAGAGCATGGTATGTACTTTTATTATCAATTTTTTTTAATTTTTTTTATGCATATTTTTTTTATATAATTTTTTTATTGAAGGCAGTTTTTTGGTGAAAATTTTTGGCATAACTTAATTTCCTTTAGACCTACAACTTTTGGCTGCGCTGAGCTGCACCTGAGGTATATGGTTTTTGAATAAGGAGTATGTCCTTATTAAGAGCTATAAGTTTCATTTGCATCTTGCTGCCTCTTCTTGGCTTAAAGGGGTGTCAAAGTATGCATGTCCATAGTATTGAATTTTTAATTTTTTTTTAAGTTCAGCTTTCATATTGTTTTAGGTACATTTTTCAAATGTTCTGTATCGAGGATGACAATTTTTGATATTTGGCACTCTAAAGTGGGTAATCCAAATGAAAAAATGCAACACGTCCTGAGCACTTTGACCGAAACATCATCCCTTTCTGACGACATCGAAAATATTGATTTAGAGACTTTAAGCCTTAAAATTAAGAATATTTGTAAACGAATTTCCCACTACTGGGCAAAGTCGAATCGTACTAGATCTAAATTCTTAGAAAAATATTCAGATTGGCTGCATGTCGTTGAAAATATTGATGTACAGCGAACTGAGTTACGTGTATCTCAGAGCTTTGACGAAGTTAAACCATCAACTTCTTCATCGCATGGCCGTCCGAGAATTAACTTTGACGACACCAGTAAACGTACAAAAAGGAGAAGATTGGCTAGTTTGTCTAACCAAGACCCTTCTCTTGTACAGTCATTGCTCAATGCGTCCGATAGCTTGTCTTGTCCTGAAATCGATTCTAGCGAAGTTTTATCGCTCATTGTTGAAGCTCAGTTAACTCGACATCAATATATATTAGTAAAGAAATTTATAGACAATAAGTTTTCAAAAACCATTTTCCCATCTTACCAAAGTGTCGTGGAATCTAAAAAACACTGTTATCCTTCAGATATTACTGTTACAGAATCATCCGCCGAAGTCGAACTTCAAAGTTTATTAGATCATACTGCCAATCGGATTCTCAAGTCTCAAAAAGATGTTTTGGATAGTGTACCTAATGAGTCTCTAGATAAGATATCTTTGATAGGGAAATGGGGTTTCGATGGCAGTACAGGGCATTCAGAATATAAACAGTGTTTTTCTGACTCCACTCTTGAAGACAGTAGCCTGTTTGTTACTTCGTATGTGCCACTTCAGCTTGTTTTGACAACAGATAACAAAGAAAATTCAGTAGTTTTGTGGAAAAATCCTCGTACTTCATCAACTCGATACTGTCGTCCTATACGCCTCCGATATTTGAAGGAATCGACTGCAGTGTCAGTTGAGGAAGAAGCTCATTTTAAAGATAAAATAAGGAACTTGCAGCCTACTGTTTTCAAGGAAGAAGATCGCGAATATCGCATTACTCATTGTTTGCAACTTACTATGGTAGATGGTAAAGTGTGTAATGCACTTAGTGGTGTTTCTTCATCAAAATGTTTTATTTGTAACGCCTTGCCCAGTGAAATGAACAAAATTGACGAATGTTTAAATAAGGAAGTCGATGAGAGTAAATATGAATTTGGTTTATCACCTCTTCACGCGTTAATACGTTTTTTTGAATATTTTGTTCATGTCGCGTACAAGTTAGATGTTAGGAAATGGCAAGCTAGGTCCGCTAATGACAAAATGCTTGTTGCTGCAAAAAAATCATATGTTCAGACTCAATTTAGAGAAAGATTAGGGCTTATAGTGGATCAGCCTAAAAGTGGCGGAAGCGGAACATCAAACGATGGTAATACAGCCAGGCGGTTTTTCTCGAATTCAGAAATTTCCGCTGAAATTACTGGGATCAAGAAGGATCTCCTAGATCGTTGCTGGATCATCCTTCAATGTTTAAATTCGGGATATAATATTAATAAGACGAACTTCGAAGAGTTCGCTTTAGAGACGGCTCGGCAGTTAGTTGCCGAGTATCCGTGGTATAACATGCCTGCTTCCGTTCACAAAGTTCTAATTCATGGTGCTAATGTTATAGATTACGGTTTGTTGTCAATCGGAGAGTTGTCTGAAGAAGCAGCTGAAGCGACTAACAAATACATCAAGTCTTTTAGAAAAAATCATACGCGTAAAATGAGTCGCATTGTGACCAACACAGATTTAGTAAATAGGCTGCTTCTTCATTCAGATCCCTTCATAACAGGTCTACGAAAGTTACCTGTTAAAAAAAAAGGTGTACTGTCAAAAGCTGTATTAGACTTGTTATGTATTTAAAGTTAATATTGTTGAGATTTAATGTATTTTGGTATAATTTGTGTTTTGTTTGTATTTTGTAAAATGAACTTTTTTATGTATTTTTATTGTTTTAATTTATTCATTTGTGGTTATTGTTAATACAAATAATCATTATTTACACAGTTTTACCATTAAAAGTCGCAGTATAAAATGTTTTAGATACATCGTCTAAAAACAAAATTACTGCGAGACATTTTTACACCTAAATATTGTCAAATATTTTTTAAAATGTATAATTTTATTAATTTACGTTTACCTAATCATATTTTAACGTAATAAAATAAAAAAAAAATAATAATTTCGGAGTTACGTATTTATGACCGCCTTAGTATGGAGCGTGAATCACCGTGCACTGCGGCAAGTTTTTTTAAAAATTGACGCAACTAACCAAGATTCCAAAATGGTATAATACTTTAATAAAACTAGGCGCCAAAAATATTGGTACCATTTCTAAGAAAGATTAAAATTCTTGATTATTGTTCTTGTTCATAATAATCACTTTTACTATGTGCCGAAAAAAGGTTATGTGTTGCAATTTCTTGGAATTTCAATGGCACGTGTGCATAGTCGATACAATTTAGAAATTAGAGAGAGAGAAAAATACCGAGAGATATACGTTAGAAAGAGATAGATAGATGTCCTTTGTTGAATAGCAATAACG